ACCGCGCTGAAGTTTGTGAGATCATTGTTAGGAGTCGTATTTAAACCGGTTAATGAAGAAAACCGTATTTCTAGTGAACCGGTTTAAAAACCTGTTCAAAGGAGCTGAACCTTTTATGAAAAGTTTCGCATGTACTTACGTCGAACCGGTTCAAAAAATTAACCGGTTTCCAAGCCCTGGCAAAAAGTCCTAGTTGTACCAAATCGCTATCAACTGATCATTAAAAAAATTATAAATCACAAATGAAAACCTGTTTAAATGACATTTAAAATGGCTTTAGCAAGATTTGAGACGTGCTCAACTTCAGATTCTCAATTCAGAAACCTGATGTTAGTGTTAATATAATTACATGACCCGTTGAGTTCTTCAGTGGGAAATATAATAGGATGAAAAATTTATACTTTTAGAACCGCCCGCTGGTCTCTCTAAACTATAAATGTGACTAACTAACTAAAAATGTAATGCGGTAGGTTAATATCGATTGACATAACGCGAAATATATTTGCCTGGCTCAAGCATCCAATATCGTACAATAGACCCTCAGATGTCATATTCGTGTAGTAACTCAAAACTTTACATCCAAATATACCATGATATATACAATATACACCATGAGATATTGGATAAATACATGTTCTCACCTGCAATATCTTAGAGACTCTAAGACCGTTCTCAACGACCATGAACTGCAAGAAAAGGCACGGCAGACAGTCCTCGTTATCATCGGAAGGCAACCCGATGTCCCATGACAACTCTTCATAAAGCAAGCCCAGGAGTACAGTCTGAATTAAAAAAAAAACAGTTATATGTTTGGTCGTCAATCATGTTTTCTTTCTATTCTACTGTCCTTCCATGTACTGTCTTCCACTTTTACTCCATTGTAAAGTATACATCTATATAACATCCATTATTCTCCTTTGGAATTCCTACGAATTTAAATCTAAGAAATTGCATTTTAAAATCATCCACGTGGTCCTAGTGCGGATTTGTGATTAACAACTGCAAAGGCAGGAACCGACTGTTTCTTGTGCCTTTCGAAATAAGGAAATATTATCTCATACTTTTAATAATAATAATAATTGAATATTGCCCACAACTACTTCTACATTACACTCGGATTAAACGCCCCCCATCTATTGTAAGAATGAACTTTAAGTTAGTTTGTGAATCAGTGCAAGATGTGACTGATTTCACCGTGCACAAAAGACCTATTAGCATAAGTAATATTATTAAGTAACTATTTCCATAATTTATTGAGACGGATATCGGACGTAATATATGACACGCCTCCGCGGCGATTCCTGGCTGTGGAACCTTGGATGATGGCAGCAGTTGGTCTAAGTGACGAGTCCACTTCAAACTATCGTCAGTTTGTACTACATAGTGCAATTTCCCTAGGCGTTGCAATACAGTGGCAAACGTCCACTTCCGGCGAGGACTAGAATAGCTTCTTGCCTGAACTCTATCTCCTAGAACGAAAGATCTTATGGGCCATTCGTTGGATTGTGATTGAGTGGTTTTGTAGGCAATTGCACTATGTAGTACAAACTGAGGTTGCTAAGCGATGCATATCGGACGTAATATATGACAAGCACAAACATTCTTGCTCTAGGCATAGAGGTCTACTCTTTGTTTTTCTTTCAAAGGGTATATGGATTAATCTCTGCTTCACAGACCAAACACGGTAACCACTGCGCATTACTTATAAAATATTAACTCTAGACTCACACTTTCAGTGTCGTCGATGACATACACTCCGTTAGCATTAACGGCTACCAGTACGGGTATATCCTCGTGGGTCAGCAAACTGGTTAGACTACGAACTGGTTGCTCTATCTGACCCTGGAAGAACGCTGCCCTGCAGCCAAAACGATATAGATACGTCATTTTGCCTATACTAATATTATAAAGAGGTAAGGTTTGATTGTCTGTTTGCTTGCATTTAATAGGATCGAGAAAACAGCTAGTATGTATTAAATAAAATGATGTATATATTAGAATTAGCATCGAGCACAAATATCAAAGGGGAATGACCAAATCTGGTCTCGTCTTGTAACAGAATGCTAATATCAAAAGTAACAAGCTACAACTACGTCAGAGAAAATTAAAATTAATTAGGAAGATTAATAATAAAAATCACTTGCAATAATAACTTTTTATATGTTGCCTTGCAGAGTTTCCAGTATTATATTAATTTATTGACTATTTCAATTTTCATTCGATAATGAGGAACTATTTAAAAAAAACATTACTTCCCGAAATAAAACTAGATTTCACTACGATACTTTCTTGATTTCTCCATGGCAACCCTTCCGATTTTCTTTCATGTTTAAAATTAATTAATTTTCAAAATTCAATAAAAATTCTATTCTTACTGGTTACATACATTAAAAAAAAATAATTTGAATTTCGAACATTAGCTTCTGCGATTAAAAAATGGACTTCTTTCCTGCCATTCTTGTATGTTTTTTTGTTTAGAAATTATTTGTTTTGAAAATGGAGTGGGGCGCTAAAGAGAATAGGACTGCAGTAATTGCACTATACAAAGTAGGTAAAGAGCCAGCTGACATTTTTGATACATTGAAAAAGCAAGAGATTAGCCGAATTTTTGAGTATCGTAGCATCGAAAGGTACACTGAAACCATGTCTGTTGATGACCGTATGAGAACCGACCGCGGTCTATACGAACAAACCATACAGCCAGAATTCGTCGAAATCCCATAAGGAAGCAGAAAATCCTTTCAAGAGAAATGAGAATCCCACCGAGCACACTTTGTCGCATTATCAAACAAGACTTGGGTTTAGGGGCTTACGAGAAATACACAGAACATACCTTAAATCAGGCAATAAAACAAAAGAGAATCGAAAGATCAAAACAGTTGTTACTTCGATACGCGGACGAACAACAGAAAAATTCTCTTTAGCGATATTTTTTTTTTTACAATTGAGGAGCACTACAACAAACAAAATGATTGAGTATGCATTCAGCTCTAAAGAAGCTTCCTAGGTAGTGGCCAAAGTTCAGCGAGGCCACCATCCAGCATACATCATGGTTTGGTGGGGGGTGTCTCCTACCAAGGGGTTACAAAATTCCACTTTGTAACAAGATACCGTGTTAGAAGCGGTAGTTAAACCTCTCAACAGTAATTTATTCAAAAACGAAGTGTGGATATTCTAACAGGATTCAGCCCCGGGTTCAGCCAAATTTGGCTTGAGCAAAATCATCCAGATTTCATAAAGGCTGATGATTGGTCTTCGGCTAGTCCGGACTTAAACTCTTTGGACTATAAATTGTGGTCTGTGCTAGAGGACATGGACTGCTCTAAGCGTCACCCAAATGTTGAGTCGCTTAAGAAATCTTTAGAAACAGCAGTGACCAAGTTTCCAATGGAAACCGTTCGTAAATCCGTCGACGAATAGCCCGACCGTTTAAAAGCGTATGTTAAAGCTAAGGGTAGACTTTGAATAACTAGTTTAGTATGTTAACATATCTCTTTCACTCTACATAATCTATATATATAAAAATGAATCGCAAAATGTGTTGGTAAGCGCATAACTCAACAATGCCTCGACCAATTTGGCCAAATCTTTTTTTAAAATGTTCGTTGAAGTTCAAGGATGGTTTTTACGGCGAGAAAAATTAGAATTATTGCTGGAAAAACCCTAAAAATAGCCCTTTTCTTTTTCCCATACAAATGATTTGTAACTAAAAGGTAGTCCATTTGAGCTTTATTGCTATGGTATAAAGTTCATATTAAATTACAAGCACTCACTGTTGTCTAAGCAATGTAGGTGTGTTCCTAACGTCAAAGATCATATCTATCAAAACAATATGCGTGTGTGCGTTGGAGCACAGAATACATAGTTGGAGGAGTTTAATGTCGCGTTCCGAAACTCGCGTTTCTTTTGTATTAGTTTCGGCACGCGAGATAAAATGCATCAGTTTCCACGTCATTACATGTATTGCCGGAACATTGATGAAAATACGCTCTGTAGTAGCAAAGCTGTTGGGTCCTAGATAGCTCATTGGTTAGAGCAGTCCCTGGATCGCGAATGGGTTCGAGTCCCATTCCGGGGTACAGGTAGATGGATTCTTCCAGCATTTTTCCTTGAGAATGTTTATATATTTTTTTAATTCGAATAGTTTACTTTTATAATGCTGTTGTGTGTAATGTGTTTTTATGATCATAAAAATCTCTTTTTTCTATATTTAATACTATTACTATTAATACATTGCAATAATAATTATGATTCACATGATTAACAATAAAGCGATTACTTACTTTTAAATCCTTATATATGTTTTATTTAATTATTTTTTATTCACAACGCCCTATCACCAGGGTGACGGTTCTGTTCAGGAGAATTTTTTTAAATACGTAGGCAAAAAAACTGCCGCATTACAAATCTTTTTGACAGGACGAAGTCTGTCGGGTCAGCTAGTCATATATAAAACTTTAAAATAAAATATTTTTTATAGAATTATCGGATATTTTCTTTGTAACAGGCTAGACTAGGTATTTGTACTTCTTCGTATTTCTATTGTCAAAATCACTTATTCGTATTTTCTATCAATGGTTCGCAATTTAGAAATGTTAATATCAGCGATCTCCAAGGCACTCTTTGGACACATATGGTCTGATGCACAAACTTCCATTAAGGTTTAATGACGCCTTTAAGCTCAAATGAATGTCAAATTTTTATGGGTAATGTCGCTTTAATCTAATGACTATTTTAATGAACGTTTGCGCAGTTAATCTTGTATCGATTAAAGGTATATTATTATCATATAGCATTGTCATTAAAACATTTATGATTCAAACACATTTGAATATTTTATAATAAAATACACTACGATTTACAATTCCAGATATACTGTCAAAATCAAGTGATTAATCTTTCTAATCAAGCACGAAATATTTTAATTGATAGAAAACAACAATAAAAATTTTAAATTTTCTCTAAAACAAAAACCAGTGTGTGCGGTCTGTCTTCCTTGCTCATAGCTCATAGTCTCCGGTGTGGAAGACATTAAGTACAGTAATGGCAACCTCTGGTTGCGGCACTTTAAAGGAAAAGCTTTAACTTGATATATAATTCGTTTGAAAAACACTTAAAGTAACACGTAAGTGTAAATAGTTAACTATATAAGATACTACCTGTTTACACCTGGCAACCCTAAGTTGCGGCTTATAGATTTTTTAGTTTAGACCTATATTTTTTGTCATGTTGTGTTAAATATAATTATTTCAACACCATGAAACTTCCTCGTTTCAGTGTTAAAAGTACTGAACTCACCCGTATGTCGCATGTGTTCTGGTATGCGCGAGGTACTTGTGTCTCAGTTTCCTGGGCGGGGCCGCTGGAGGCCTCTGCGCTTGTTCCAGAAGTTTCGCTTCGGGACTTCCCTTCCTTCCAGCTGGAAGCAACTGCGCCCAGCGTCCCGAACGAGCATGGCGTGGTAGGTATTTGTCTTGATGTTCTCTGGAAATGTCGAGTCTTTTTTTTAATATTTAGTCGTTATTTATTTATTTGTTGATTGTACAGTTCAAACACAGAGTCAGCTAGATCAATTGTGGTTTCTAGAACTTCCAAAAGATTTCACAAGGTTGAAGAGCTAGAAAAAAACTTAATCAATATTTGTTTAAACAAAACCCCAAATCAGAAGTCTTTTTTAAATTCTCACTGTTTTACATTTTACAAGGTCAATAAGGAGTTATTTCAGTATATATAAATTTATTTAGTTTCCTTTTGATGTTTAATACTCCCTTTTATCATTAATATTAGTTAGACAATGCGATTGGCTCACCTAAAAAACTTGGCGGTATGTCGATGTGGATCGTACGGACCCAGCTGTATCCGAGCCTGGAGGCCGCCCAGCATCACAGCTTGAGCGCTCTCCAACGGGTAACGACCTGTCACCACGTTATGACGGGCTTCCTCATACAGAAGCTCTTGAATACGAGAATCTCTATGAATGAGATTATATTAATATACTTAGAGCTAATAGATTTTTTTTAAATAATCCATTTATATTTTCTATTTTCGTTCAGCCATAAGATATCAAATAATCTCTGTATTTATCTATAATTATGCGCGTTATTTTACATACTAATAAATGACTGTAAATACTGAAAATAACAATGTATAATTACGGAAATAATACCAAAAAAGGAAAAAGAAAGGAAAAACACTTTGAAGTGACACTATTGCAGAATGACCTCTGCGACTACTGCTAAAGTGTATTATGTCTCTTTCGCTTTCAAGTCGTTAAAAGATTTGTGAGAATACTCACAATTCGGGATAGTTATTCTTAGTGATCATGATAAATAAAAGAATTATGTTGTATATAAAAAAGACTTACTTGATCCCCTCTTCCAAGTGCCTCGGGAAGAACACGTTTCTCTGCAGCCTGAGAACTGGCTGATCGCGTGCCCTCCTAGTTTCCGAGCCGTGGCCATATCGTTGGAGTAATTTTTGCCAACTGGCCCAAATCTTCCATGGACAATGGTGTGGTTTCAGTTGGATTTCTAAAATGTTAACATATTAATCTATACTATAATAAAAACGTAACTGATCGATGTCTGCACATTGAAGATATATGAAAAAAACCATTCTGAGGGACATTAATGAACATAATAGAACACCAAACAATGTTTTTTTTTGTCTGTTTGTGCGTTTGTGCACGCTGATCTCAGAAACAGCTGAACCGATTTTAATTCAGTTTTCACTATTGTATTGTGGTAACCTTCCGTTAACATTTAATTTCAATCGATTCATAAATTTAAAAGTTATATCAATTAATTGCTATGAAATTAATTTGCTTTATTAAATTTTAGACTCTGATATATTTTTTTAATGCCTTGAAAAAGGGCAAACCTGCAATACTGCTAAAAAGATGAGATTTTTAAGAGGATCATACAGCGAGACGTAGGAAATTTCAGGCCAGGATACGTCCTACAGAAACATTGGCTCAGCATGAATCTAAACTTGGTTTACACGGTTCTCGAATCAGTGAAACTACTCGATTTATATCAATTTTTTTCCTCTTAATAATCTTTTCTTACTCTTTTTATTTCTTTTTTACATTCAATTGATTTACTTGAAAATTTTTATTTGCAGTCTTCACTAGAGATACAGGTTTATTTACCGGTTATGAGACCTATGAATAATACGAGAGTCTGAAGGTCGGTGCAAAACTTTTGGCTGAGCTGGAGCTTAGTCAAGAATCTCGCGGAAGTATATGTGTGTTTTTTTGTTCTCTGACATTCTACGACAAATAAAAGTTAGACATGCGCATGTCTGACGAAAGATACGTAGCGGCATATCTGTCGACCCTAAGACTTTTATTGACAAACAATCTCGCTAGAGCTCTCAGAGAGTTCAGATACGAAGCGTTCGGTCACAGCAGAGACTTGACGGGCGCGAAGCGTATTTAAATGCCCATCGCGACGCTCATGCATTATCAAGTTGAATCTGGAGCACTGAATGCTCCAGATTAGGGAAAATATCTTGAGCTCTCAGAGAACTCATGCAGCAAGCGTTTGATTTTAGAAAACTCCTGAAGAGAACTTAGCACGTCTAACTACTGATCACACATATACAGTATTGTTTGAGTCTGAAACTTCCTTAAATAGAGAAATGCGGTTAGCTCTTAGAGATCAGACTTTGCAGTACAAAGAGCGAGAAAGTACGATAGTTTCGAATATCGCCAATCGGTGTTGCCTTCAATCTGCCTATATCCCACAAGCGTACCTACATAATTAACTGTTAACTAGCCGCGTAAATTATAAACCGATGTCACCCGAGTATGACGTAGCTTCCCGTTCAGGTGAAAGAGTTTTTAAAATTGCGTTGTAATTTCGGGACCAATTCGATACAAAAAATAATTAAATTTTCCTTTTTATAAGATTAGAGTTAGCGAAATCGTTTTACGATGCGGTTAAGTAAGTAAGTTAAATCTTTATTGCACAACAAGAAATGACACGAATATACATATATATTTTTCATACATAATAATGTTAGCGCTAGCCAGTGTTTTTTTTTTTAGGCAACCTAGCATTGGATTGAAAAACATAACAAAAATAATTTATTACGCATACAACTAGACAGATAAACATATAACATTTTAAAAATATCACAATCTAAAGAAGAACAGTTGAAACAGCGTAACTATCACTAATACGAGTATAGCTAATGTACGATAAAAATGGTCAGACACAAGAGCAGGGAGAGAAGTGAGAAAAAAATTTGAAAAATAACTATCGTTCTTAGGGTGTATGACGAAAACATTATTATCTTGACTCCTCCGTGTTTCGGAATGCAAGTTAAGCCGTTGGTTCCGGCTGTATTAGCAGTCGTTAAAACCCACCAATTCGCATTGGGCCCGCATAGTGCGTTATGGACCATTGATCCTACTTAATTCGATCCCACCCATAAGAAAGGAAGAATTCTCCTGATACACTTTCATCAAAGTATTTCACATTATATTAGGGTTGTCACTTATTATTTTTTATTCTTACATTTATATCACGTAAAAATATAGCTAAAGTGATCAGACATAAAAGCCAGATTGTAAATGAAATTACTGAGAACACAAACATGCGTAGCACGACAAACTCAAAACGTTGTATGCCACCCAAATGTCCTTTTCTCGGGTACAATATCTCACTTTCGTTCTAGAATCTATTGACTTCGTCATGCTACCGTGCTAGAGTAGAGAAGGATTTTTAATTTGACTCCTAGATAAGTTACCCATACCCTTAAATGGAAAACATATGAATTCACAGAACTATAATATTCACATTTATACTTATAGAAATATTTAAAATATACCTAGTAAGGGGCTGCACATCCAAAGTGCGAACACATTCGCAGCAAGACTCCTTGTGCTGGGCTGCGTTAACCCCAACTCCTCTGTCGCAAGTATTGCGTTAAGGAACCTAGAAGCTGTCACGCAGGTAGGCACTTCTTCTGAGCTCATTTCCACCATGATGGCGGTTCGTGACATGAGATAAACACATGTCACCGGATTCGAAGTTACGCTAGACGATGACGTTGTGCTTCCTGACGATCCTAAGGGAAATAGTCTTACGTTATATACAGCACGAAAATAATACAAAATTACCAAGATACGGATCAAAAAAATGGTGCGGGAAATTATTAAAATCCAATATCTCTTATTCATCATTTTTGCGCAAATCTACAGTCGGTAAAAAAATTTCTTTTGGCTGTTTGAATGAAACACACAGACTAGTAGGGAAAAGTAACAAGCAGTTAAAAGAATTAGTGCTGTTGGGTCTCGAGTAGACTCAAACTGGTGGTAGTGGCGACGGCGGCCTTACAAACTTAAGCATTTCTATCAAATCGCGGGAGCCGCGCACTGCACAACGGTCGCCATGTCTAGTTTGTGGCCTTAAAGCACTTGTCTAGATTGGCATTCTTTTTTTTCATGAACGATATTTTTTTTTCTAAGAGAAACCGATAAGTACACCATCAGCCCTTTTACGTCCCCACTGCAGGGGCTCAGGCCTTCCTTATGGATGGTTAAGGAGAATGGGCCATAACCCTCCACGCTGGCCCAATGCGGATTGGAAGGTATTAACGACTGCAAATGCAGCCGGGACCAACGGCTTAACGAGCCTTCCGAAGCACGGAGTATCTCGAGATAATAAGTTTTTGGTCACCCATCCCGTGACCAACCCTTGCGAAAGTTGCTTAACGACAACGAATGCGGGCCGCGGCGCTTATCCATTACGCCACCGAGCTACTCCGATAAGTAATTAGGAAGTATTAACAAAATTGGAAGCACTAATAAAGCACCTCCACTAGATGGCGTTGTTTCTAGAAAAAGTTCATTTTTGCAGGAAACGAAAGGACCAAATAGTCATTTCCGTTCCTTTTAACTTGCATAGTAAAAAACTGAAATTTGCAAAGTTCGAATTTAAGATATCGATAAAATTACGAAAAAGTACAAATTGAATATGAGATGTTTATTGTGTTTTGAAAATTAATTTACTTTTAAACATGAAGGGTATGTTCCGATATACACTGCGAGCACTGCGCAGTGGTCTTACTGCTGAAAAATCCGTTCCGTTATGGACTGCCAGTACACTGCTACAGTACCCTAGGGAAATTTATGACGTCATAAATTGCCGCCATATTTGTACTGTGAGCACTGGAGATTTCGAGGCAAGGTGCTCGTAGTGCTTTTGATCACGTGATCAGTCGAAACAGAATCAGAAAATGATAAGTTTCTAAATAAACAAAAAAAAATACTTACGTTTATTTATAAGATGTATTTAATTGATAAATAATTTTTTTATACAATTTTCCAATTTTCTTTTGAAAAGAGGGAAAAGAGGGAATCTTTATATTTATATTCACCTTGCATTAACAAATTTGAAAATGGCGCCAAAAAATAGGATTAACAGTATACTGAACTGCGTTCCGTTTTAAAAAGTCACCAGTATAACTAGCTATAAAGGAACGGGCTTCCAGTATACTAAATTGACGTCATACTGTTCAGTGGTCGCAGTGTATATCGGTACATACCCGAAATAAAACCGGAAGGGTGGTCATGGATAAATCAAGAACCGTAGCGACATCTAGTTTGATTTCGGAAACTAATGTTTTTTTTAATACTTCCTCATTAGCTATAAAATTTTGGAAGGAAACTTATGCAAACATTTCAAAATACCATTTCAGTTTCCACAATTACCATACTGTGATGAAACTCAATTTGTGTTATACCTGACAACCGATGAATACATTGTATTCGTACCACTCCCAACCGAAGATTGACGATTTTATTGGGCAAATCGCCGAAAATACAGATAGCAGCAGCAGCAGATTAGCAGGTCTCAATACCAAGTTGCTCTAACGTCAATTAAAATTGTCGTTACTTTAAAGCAACATTACCGTCAGAAATTTCAAATTTAGAACGTTCATTAAAGCTTAAAGTCGCCATTAAAAAACCCTAATTGACGTTGGTGCAACTGGGTGTAAGTCTGCTGTCCCGTATGGCGAAAGCTGGCAGGGTAATGCATTTCTCTTTAATCACAAAGTACCAATTTACCAGGTAGAGGTGGCGATATAGCACTCGACGAACTGCCCCCGCTTGTGATGGGCTCTGTAGTGCTAAATGATCCGGCGGCAATACTACTAGTCCCAGTCTGATTGGAACAACTACTGAGATTAGATCCTGCAAAAAAAGTTAAAACCATCATCTTCTCTACTGCTTGCACAGGCCTTTTCTATATGGTACGATGGTATCAAAATATTATAACGAGCCATAATCCAGTGCGGACTGATAGGTGTTAACGAGTGCAAATACAGCCGGGACCAACAGTTTAACGTGATTTCCGAATCATAGAGCAGCTCGAGAAATTCAATTTTTAGTTTCCCATCCGATTACCGGTATTTGCAAAACTTCCTCATGGCAGATAGTACTAACCACTTCGTTATCGAGCTCCTCAACGAATGAAATTGCATTATACTTTTTTCGACTTCTTGTTTCTATATAAATAAAGATAATTATTATAAAAGTTACATAGTGTATGATTTGTCATCAAAATGCTTACCTACTGAACGAAAATTAAGTAGATCGTAAATAAAGTCATTGAGCATGGTTTCCTCAATAAAATTCTAATTTCATCAACAACCTATTTGTAACATCCATAAGTAAACAAGGACGTCTTTAAATCCTGTGGAACACGATAGAAAATGCCGGCAACTGATTCAGACGATAAAAGAAAAGGACGAAGTTTAAGAAAACACTTCTCTTATAACTTACCCATAACACTCTTCTCCAAGGAGTCAGAGCTATTGCTCTCTTTAGAGTCCGGTAAGGGTTTATGAGGGTCATGTTTGTCCCACTCACTGTGACGTCCTAAGGGACTGTATGTCAAGTGGGGCAACCTCTGTGACACCGAATACAGGTGCGCGTTCACTTCAGCCTGGAGTTTCTGACTTTGCACACTGTAATATTCTTCGCGAGATCTGAATTCGCTACAATACAATAGATTTTTATCAAAAAAAAAGCGATCTCTCAATTCCTCTCAATAATAGAACGTAAGACAAGTCTTACAAGTTGTCTTACGTTCCATTAATCACACCAATTTCAAGGTGTCCCTATCTGCGGTCTCAAGTTCGTTTACCAGAAGGGTCACTGTGGAAAATGAACTATTCGATATTATTTCGAGTCTAGGTTTTGTGGTACCTTTTTAGTTTCAGATATTCATTATACAAGGACTTCTGGGCGTTGTGTTTTTGATTTGATTAAGATCAAAGACAATATTAGAAAGAGTTAAAATTGGCATTTAACTTTTATTTAGTGCTCAAACATTTTCCTTCTGGCCTAGAACGTAAGTATATTTTGAATATGGAAAAAATTATATACCTAAAATAGATAACTTAGGAATATGCTATAAAGAAGTAGAACTGAAGCTTAACCACACCACAAAATTCACTAAATATTGACGTTTACGATAAATAACAAGTAACGCGTTATACTATTTCTTACTTGTACTGATATTCTGCTTGCATAGAATAACCACGTCTAGAATAATCGACGGGTATGATTGTTATGTAATTTCCACTATTTTGCACATTAGCATTCTCTCCGTAAGCACCCATTTCAGGCTGATGTTCCATTAAACTATCGTACTACATTTTTCTCAAACGCCGAGCCAAAATCACTTCGGTGAAAACACAAAATATCGATCGAACTTCGCGCCCGAAAATGTTGCCATATCAATTTATTTGTTCGTTGAATTTAGTTTGTTTCCTTGTGCGTTAAAGTAAATCATGAATCTTATAGACAAAACATTATTAAAATACAAACAAATTTATTCAATTAAATTAAACATTAAAAAAGTGCAAAAATGTATAAATATATTTTTGGAAAACAATTCTTAAACGAAAATAGCGCAAACATCAAATTTTGACATCTGCTAGTCAGCTCGCTCAGCTAACTTTACAATGTTTAATTTGCATTCTCTGCCGACGTGTTATTAAAACTTTAAAAAGGAATTAGATGTGCGAAAATACTAATCATTTCACATCATTATATCTAAATTAAATAAAACAACGTTATAAAAATATATCTACTTTATTAAACTTGGCACAATACGTTACTAAGCAACTATTAAGCTATTGTAATTGCGATAATTATTTTTATCGCCTTTCATACCTGGTTTCTGGTAATTTCACGCATGGAGGCCAAACTTAGAGAATATCGCGCTCTTCGTCGTCGGCAACAGTTTATTGAAAACGCAAAAGAGAAAATCCGAGAGTCGAAAGAAAAACTTGTCAAATTAATAACTCCTAAATTTTTTACCGAAATGAGTAAAGAAAAAGAAGAGGAGGTGCTATTAGTAAGTAAACGTATTAAAAGATTTATCTTATCACACATACTTCATATATTTTGTATCTTATGTGATATGACAATAAATAAAATCATAATTCATATCTTTTAATAACTACTTCGTTAATCTGAACTTGTAATTTAATTCCAGAGTCTATAAAAATCCACTTATTTTATTGAATGATGTTTTCAGATGGAAAATGAAGAAACTCATCATCAAGTGATTCCACCACTTGTAAACCCCAGTGACGTAACATCAGAGCTCAGCGAGATAGAAACTACAGTTGAAGAAAACCCAGAATCTTGGAAATATTTCATTGTGAAATGGAGTATCTACTTAGTAGTATGGCTTACATTGTATGCAATCTTCCTCAAACTGCAATTTGGTGCTGTATTTTTTGTAATATCTGTATTGATAGGTATATGTTTAAATACAAGGACAACACCCAAAAAGAAAGGTGAGATATCAGCATATAGTGTGTTTAATCAAAATTGTGTCAGTATAGATGGTACTCTTAAAGCTGAGCAATTTGAACGGGAAATAAGATATGGAGCTGGTAGTGTAAGATAATATTTTTTAATATGAAATACAAGAATTTAGATCTAATATAACACTATGTTCATATTATTGCTGATATATTTAATACTTTGACAAAACTTATATAGATCTCAGTTAAATAACATAAAATAGTATAATTATTGAACAGTACCCGAATCTTAAATTCCATCATCACCATCACCAGCCCTTTTACGTGGATGGCTAAGGAGGATGGGCCATGACCCTCCACGCTGGCCCAATGCGGATTGGAGGGAATTAACGACTGCAAATGCAGCCGGGACCAACGGCTTAACGTGCTATAACGTGTTATTATTTTTTAAATAATATTAAAAAATAATAAAATATTTCCTAGTCCATAGGTATCCTATACAACAAAAGCTATTTAAACTATTTAATAATACTGTTATGTATTGTGTTTGATGATATCCATAGCATAATGGCTCACACACCAGTTTCAAGATATCACCTCCTCTGAGATCCCAGGTTTGATTTCCAGTTGGCTCAATGTAGAAAGTAATTCTTTCTACATTGTCTTGAATCTGAGTATTACGTTCCCTTGTTATTTCGGATTTCCAAGTGCTAAAAGCTGCTTAATTTGGGATGTAAGCAATGTATGGGATTTTATTTATAGATCCTGAATTTCCATAATTCATCATATTTATTTATTAGTTTTACCTGTTATTTATTGTGATATTTAATTAATAAAATGTCTATTTAGATTTGGTATTTATTGATCACAAATAAAAATTGACAACAAATATAAATTTTGTATGTATGAAGTCAACAAAAAACATATACATAAATATAAAATATCCACACATAGTAATATACATCAAGAACTTTAATTTTAACTTAATATGGTGCTAGTTGCCAATACTTAAATTGTACTTTAACATATTTGTATATTTCTGCATTAACTAAAGATGCATGCATTTATAAAATACATATAATACATAAATTTATAAAATACAATAAATTTATGTATTATACAATTATAATTTATAAAATATATAAATTATTAATTATATTTGTAAAAACACTTTATGTTTTTACAAATATTTGAAAAGTTCCTTGGTCCGAAAAATGGACAATGTGCAAGATTCCTATTCAAATGCCAGTCTATCAGAGAGAACACGCGCCGATGGAAGCGAAAAAAAGGAGTTTAAAAATTCTCTATATACAAACATATGAATCATCACATGTACGCGCCGAATGGTCTTTATTCTATTGGTGTTTTATAGAACCAGTTTTTTTAAATGCCTATCAACCATGTTGTTGATTTTGCAATATTATGGACAATATTTTAATAATAAGAATATTTGCTTTTCAGTCTCGTTTTAAAACGAAGACTAATTTTAGTACCAGATTTAAACCATTAACCGACCAAAATAAGTCAACATGTTTCAACTTTATGTTTTATCATCTGTCAATGTCAATGTTCTTAATTCGGCTAATGGTTTAATGAACCAAGTAATAATCATAATTCTCGTTTTATAATAAGATGTTTTCAGTCATTGCTTCCATGCGACGGTTAGGGTTGGTGCATATCCAACGCAGTATGCGTAATTACGCAGGTTCACTGGATGCATAATCGTTAGAGTGTGCGATTTTGTAAATTTTACAACATACCTAATTATTTGTTCGTGCTAACGTTACGCAACCGGATAGTACGCGAAGCCATTTACATCAGATATGCACCGACCTTTAGGGTATACTAAGTTGTGATGTCACAAATCAGTATATCTATCTTTCCCGCTATTTCAAATGTTAACTATAACTCGGTAAATTAATATTTAGTTTATTAGCCAAATGTTCCTGGAACTTGATAACATAAATTACATGTTAAAAAATCAATCAATAACCAATTCGTTTGGTACATTAATGGTTGTGAGTACAGTTTAATTTTGAGCAAAGTATACAATAGGAATGTAATATTAATAAAAATCACATTTATGCGTATTCTTTGTGTCCTTTATACACATACACAAATCAGTTAAGAAAGTATACTATATAATAAAATTGACTGATACTATACACAATAAAATGCCTATACGTAATGGCAGATAATTCAAAATATGAATACGAAAACCCGAAGTGTTTTTTGTAAAATATAATTTAATTGGCCATCACAATCTTCTGATCAGTATAGATGACTTGCAACGTTATTAACTGCACGTCGATACATTTTAATATCAGGATATACAACTGAATACAAAATAGATATTTTAAGGATATTGAAATAAGGTTTGTTTTAACTTCTTTGAAGAAGCTACTTAATTTCATGCCTAAAACATAGTAACACAAATTATTCGGCTTACAATTAATTATAATAATATTTTGTCTATCATAATGGCACAAAATTCTATATACTTACTATTTATTTTTTCATGATAGTGGACAATATTAAGGCACCTTGAGAATTATAAATGATCGAGTATTACTAATTTTATGTTATTAACAGCAGTAGTCAAGTTTCCTTTAAGGGAATGTTATATAATTTGTGAACTGGATATATATAACTATAATGACAATAATGGTGGCAATTCTGTTATAATAACCCTAATAAAGTAAATTGTCCGTTATTATGTTTTCACATATAATCTGAGAAATATAGTTAAAAATTATGTCTACATATATTACATTATTTTAGTCGATTCCTGCATGAGGAAGTATTAATAAAAAGAAAGTAGTAGTTGGCGACTTTAGCTAAAGTCGTTTTTTGCAGATTGAATAAGAGTTGTTTATTGAGTTTCGAAAATTAATTTACTTTTATACATGAAAGAGAACCGGCTGAGTTGTCATGGAGAAATCAAGAAAGTACCGTAGCGACATCTAGTTTGATTTCGGGAACTAATGTTTCTTTTAAAAAATACTTCCCCATTGAATATGCGGTGTGCCAAGATTAAATGACAATTTAGTCTAGTTTATTCCAACAGAATTGACCAGCATGGTCAAAGAACAACACAGTTGAAATAGTCACCATAAATTAAACTCTAACATGTATAACAATAAAGATGCAAAATACAAATCTGAAATGTGACAAATTTAAATTGTCAATTAAAATTCAATCGTGAGATCAGATTCATAAGGTGTACAAGGAATATTTTCAGTAATAACAGACTATATATATTACATCTACAAATCAGAATACCATATACATATATATTAGAATTTAAAAATTACAACTAGTTATGTGAAAAATAATTGTTTGTTTGCCTTTAATTTAAAATCTGTTATTTTGCAAAACAAATATGTTATAAAAGATTAATAATAGACAGCTTTGGTATTAAAATGTAAAAATTGTACACAGGGTTATTAAAGCATATATTATGTGCATAAACTCTTAATTATTGTCATAAACGACTGCTACTTTAATACTAAGTCTGTATAACACTATTAATTTTGTATTAAAAATATAATCGACTTTTATCACCATCGGTCACCGAAAAATTTGTAATAATTTAGGTATACTTGTCTTAACGTCATAATAGCTGGTTATCTCGTGTTAGGCATTGATTTTTCCCATAAAAACTAACGTAGTTGTGTCTAATAAGACCCATCTATGAACACCCAAGAATATAGGTATAACTAACAAGAATACGTAACAAGTTCAGTCTTGCGGTCAAGGTCATTAAGCACTTTACGAGTTGATACTCGTAAAGTGCTTACTGACCTAGGTGTAATTACCCCGTCGGTAAATTAGCTATTCTATGAGGGTTAAAAAAGATTCTAATAATGCAGACCAAATTTAAAATACAATAATAATAAATCCATATTTAACTAACTGTACTAGTAGGAACATAGGACTGAAAATTAAACGTATTCTGTTTTGCCAAATTAATGGGCCATATTAGGCGACATACCTTTACCCTGTTCCTAGGACAGGTAAAAAAACAAATAATATCCCAAAGTATTATGTGAGCATTTAAAGATTAATATCGCTAACCATAGAACTGTATCGTTTCCGCAAAGTACCATATTTAATAATAATGGACGCTCTATAGGTCGCTTACCCCACCCGTACAACAACAAGCAGTACTCCGCGTACACAATACAGAGATCTATGGATAGCGATACATATCGTCTTACAGTGTTTACATTCGATTTTGTGTCATTTGGAACACTCAACAGAAAATAAATAAATAACAAAGCCTGGAAATACCATCAGTCTATCACAACGCATAATTATAATAAGGCATTAAAACAAAGATGATGGCATTTTTTTTTTGTCTGTCCGTCAGATAGTTTAATGAAGAATATTAAACGCGTATTTTTTGCGTATAATTTTACATAATCAATGAATTACGTTAAATTGAATCAAATAAAAATACGTATTTAATATTTCTCTATACGAAATAAATAGATTTTTTACCCACACATCGTCCCTATCATGATGATATATCACCAGTAGAAAATTCACAATCTGACCAAGGCACGCAACTCACTAATATTTCTCAAAATACAATTCCTTTATGAAATTTGACAATAATATGAATTTACAAACTTAATGCCAACATAGGTAACAGCTATTTTGACGCTATGGACATTCGGCACTTTTACCTAAGGAATGTACAATATTATCATAGAAACTTTTACATATATTCAAATTTTTATCAAAAAATTAATAATTTTTAAATTTTCCACTGGTATTTGATTATATCTAAAATTATGCACTTTTAACTCAATATAAATTTAATTTGTTATCAAGCTTATCAAAAAAAGTACCGAATGTCGCCATCGCCCTTGCTATGATATTCAAAGTGTCCCAATATTTTTCAACGAAAGTCAAAAATAACGAGTAATAAACCCATCAAAATTTTGTATATTGTACGTACACACAACAGCACGTCAAATTAAAATTTTATAGTTTTGTACAACCTGATGTGCTGTTAGCTGTAAATGCAACTTTTTTATTCACCCGAGTCAATATTTGGGGCAATTATATATTCAATATCGAATTAAAAAATACCGCAGTCTTCTTGCATTTGATCAGTTTCCGTATTGATTATACACTATAGGTTATACGACTTTTACATGATTTTTATAACATAAAATATACAAGACAAATATAAATGCATTTAAATCAATATAAAAGAAATCTCTTCTGTACTCATGGCTGACTAGGAGGAGTAATGCTTTGCAGTAAACATTTACTACTTACGAACTATACAATTGCAACTTCTTATACAATATTATTATAAACAACGTCATGGTAAAGCGGACTCAGTCCGCAGCTATTGGTTGAGATCGATTGAACACCCTGCAAAATGGTAATTTACAAGAATTGGGAGTCGGAACGAACGGGTTACCACCCTCATTCCTTCTCACATCAGGCAACAAGAATACAACGCTCAAAGCGATTATCATGTGCCATATGGAATGAACTATTTTATAATTCTGTTCGGTTTGCAGGAACGCGTAGCAAATTAAACCTACTGACACTAAAACTAGACCAAGGGGCATGTAAATGGTGTAATAAGACTTAGGATAACGCATGGTGCGCGACTTTCTATAATCCAGATACCAAGACAGCAAAAGAATTCCTGCGCCAACGGCCACAGGGAGCAAGAAGGCTACAAACGAATGCATGTTCCACGTAGTTAGCAATGCTATCACGATGGCACCAATCAGTTGGATGGAGGATCTGAATTTATCGTTCACTACGCTCATCGCTAGTAGGGTCAACCAAAATGACATTAGTCCGCAATAGAAATCACCGAACTGGAGAATGTTGCCTCTAACCATGCAGTAAGCCACTTGAGCTGGAGCATCGCAGGCGTGGTAGAACGTAGAGAACACCATCGTGAAGGCGTACATCATGGCTTCGGTGTAGTACAAACGTATGATGGCTACGTAGATTGAGAATATAAACAAAAGGTTACTTAGCGTTAGGAGGAGCACGGCGACGAGCATGTACAGTCTGCTGTCCATCCTAGAGTCGTCAGAACAATCCCAACCTGAAACAGAAATTGATACCAATTGAAGAAATATGAATTCAAAACAACTATGGCAGTAATTGATTTAGTTAAATTGTTCTTTAGATATTTAATACTTAAAGTTAAATATGAAAGTCTGTATATAGGTTGCCTGGAAGAAATCGCTGTTAAGCGAAAAGGCCGCCTATTGCGCAAATATTTGTAAATTTCTCTTTATTTATTTCTGTTGTGTGTTGTACAATAAAGTGTTTTTATCTTATCTTATCTTATGATTATAAGATCTAAGGCAATTTATCTTACTTCCGTAGCCTGCTGAACAGGAGCAGAACGACATCACGAGCCCCCCAAAGGTGTTCAGTAGACAGTTGCCATGATTACTGCATCTTCCACCAACACACGATGTCGAAGACACAGACAGCACCACTGTAGCGTTACAATCGGAAGTACCCTGCCTCGTGTTATTCCAGGAAGCATAAGAATCCTCTTCTCTGTCCTTATCTATAACATCTAAATCTACGTAATACTTCGTGCCATTGTCAGAAGTGCGGCAAGGGCAAACAATTTTATCGCAGAATAATCTCAATGTCAAATACCAAGTTCCACTATCAGGGAAGGGTATGATAGTTTTATCGTATATGGACTCTGAATCTGTGCTATTCAGCACAAATAACGCTGGCTTCACTTTATCGTTATATTTACAATGACCAGTTTTTAATGGTATGCTTGTATGGCCGATATCTAAGCAAATAACTGCTTTAAAATACTGGTTGTCTTCAGTGAACGCAAGTAACGACCCCTTTTTAAGCTCCCTTTTGTAGCCCATATAATATTTGAGGCTCATAAGCAAGCTCGCCTCTATAGCAAGGCTTCCTCCGATATCCAAGAACTGATTGACTTTGAACCTAACACTTTTCACTTCATTAGAAGTAATATTGACTAGGCTCGTTGTATCTTGCAGGTCTGTTGTAGGCAAACCGTAGTCGAATGTAAAAAATCTACCTTTATCATCGCGCATAAGATCTAGAACTGTATTATTGTCTACTTCCTCTGCGTCACTTCGGAGATAATAGGATTCACAATCAGGTACTTTTGTGGTGTCGTTCATATGGTTAATATAAATGTAATGCCATGCATTTGGATGAGGGTAAAAGGTGATCGTTTGGATGTTGTTATCTTCTGGAGTGAACGCGCAAAACACAAGGTAATTTTCATCTGTAGGTAAAGATAACGCTTGAATTTTAAAAGACAACTCTGATGCCAAGTTGGTGGCTTTCAATATTGTTAAGTTTAAACCGATTGGATCGGTACTGTCTATCGACATGCACTTAAACAAGGCTGGTATCTGTGAGTATTCCAAAGTAAGGCCATTGTAACAGTCTATTAACTCTATATCACTCTCCCTTTTCACCTGAAGGTCTGTATATAAGATCGTTTGGCAGTCCGCAACGAGTCCTGAAAAAGATTAAGTGTAATTTTATATAATTAAATATTGAGCATTACCTTGTTAGGACAGATACCTTTATCTTTGGCTAAGCTTAAAGAGCTGACGCGAAGATTAGCGCGCTCTGTCTGTGATACGGTAGTTAAACTACATTCGCAAAGGGCGATCATAGGATGGGTTACATGGGTTAAATGTATTATCTCGAACTCCTTCGGAAGGCACGTTAAGAAATTGGTCCCGGCTGCATCTGCAGTCGTTGACACCCACCAATCCGCCCTGAGCCCAAGTGGTGAATTATGACCTATTCAAATTCTCCAATTCGATTACATCTATAATACGCTGATGATGTATGATGAATGTTAGATATTGAGGAAAGTGAAGATATAGAAGATTTTATTTAAAGCATTTACTATTTACAATGAAATTTTAATTTAAATTTGCTACACCCTTACAGGGTGTCACATAAACTGTACCTAATAATAACACCTGTTTTACTATGTGACATGCAATAAATGAATTATTATTATTATTTAATAATAATAGTTTGCCAGGCAAACTTAATAGTTTGTCAGAAGACCAGTAACTTAATTCACAAACGCTGGAAACTGCTTTTGTCGAATCAGATCGTTTAATCACGATTCCCAAAGATCGGAATTAAACATAGATAATTGTAGAGCATCTCTAATACATCAAATATCTCGCTATATGTAACATCAATCCCGTAAAAAAATATTGTCCCAAATCTAATGTTTAATAGACCTTAACTCATTATTAACTAAAAGTTTTCCAGCTAAGCCGTACAACGACAAATCCACACGGCGAAAATAATATTGGAACTTTATAAAAGTATAAAAAATACAAAAGATTACGTCAAAAAATAAACAAACTAGCTAATAACAAGGAGTTTCGTTATAATACATCAATTTTATTGTTGCATTATGGCACTTATATTGAACAATTGCATGTCGCAATATTACCGACAGTTAAAAGATATCATGCCATGACTACTGTGTGGGCGACGTGATATGTTAGTGCTTCATTTTGTAATAGTCTTATTCAGGGTCGTCAGTAGTTAACAATAATATTAAACCGATATTGTTTTTTTTTCATTGCAATTAACCTCTTATTGGTGGATGCATTTGTAATATTATTTATCGATAGCAATACAAGAAAATTTTAATACGTTACTTTTTTTGTAATTAGAAAAATTAATAATTAGAAACATTATCATGTTTATTTCGACATTAATAAACAAACTATGTAAGCATGTTAAAAAGAGAGAAAAAACTTGAATATGATTTATCGTAACGAATGCAATATACATTTTTTATGCGCCGATTATAAATTTTTATGATTATGATATTTAAATGTTGGCACACTACCACATCCTTCGGACAGGTGTCCTTTAACACAAGGGTTGTCTGGAAGCTTTTAGAGATAAGACCGCCTTTGCCCACTAGATCTAAGATATTTCCTGTAAACTTTCATTTGTGTGTGAGCAATAAAGAGTTCATCTATCTATCTATCATAAATCCCTGCCAAATGATATTCGATATCTTAATACGAAGAATTGTTTTTGTCCTTTTTTCTTGTTTGTATTCTCAACTATCATCGTTTTATTATGTATCATGTTGTACCGAGCAAACAAAAAAATAATAAAAGCTTCAGCATCCTTCAACTTATTTTTTTACTCACCACTCTAACTCAGCAACATTAGTCTCAGAACACTGTAATTTTTTTTAAAGTACTTAATTTGAGTATCCAATGAATTTAAAAAACAATTCTAATTTAACACGCCATATTTTCTGACCGACATTCGCAGACACTACAATATAAGTGTATCAAAAATATCCTCAGTTTATATTATCGTAAAACTACAAAGTTTCAGGCAGTCTTAAAGTAAACATCAGTTATTTTCTACTGAGGATTGAAATAAACATGCTCTCTAGATTTATAGTCTTGCAAATCTAGTATTCTACCTCTACGGCATGTAACTATGATGATATTCATAAAAACTGCGGCATGACTATCGTCTATCAACCTATCCCACGAGAAATCCATCATCTATATTATTACGATATAATAACATTCAGAAGATAACCATTTATAAAGAAAGAGGAGCTTGAATGGTGACTTTCCCAAGGGCCGGTCATAGGATGGGCGATCAGAAATTTACTATCCCGTGCTCCTCTGTGCTTCGGAATTCACGTGAAGCCGTCAGTTCTGACTACATTAGCAGTCGTTATCACATACCAACTCAACACTCTATTTATTACAGTCCGATCTCCCTATCTGGTTTCATCCATGAAGGCCTGTGCTAGGCAGTAAGGGACACGAACAGTCTGATAATAAAAGAGGGAAGAAACTTTATTGATATCGAGTTTTTATCACTATAGTGATAGAGAGAAAAAGATAGACTACTACTGGCAGCACTAATCGTCGATTTCACTACAGCCATCCCTATCGGTCAGCTGCTACTGTCACTTTGACTTTGACGTTTGATCAGTTTCGCGCCAAAATATTTCCGTATTATCATTATTGTTAGATTAATGGGGCATGGTGATTTTAAATATAACAATAAAATGTGTCTTTCAATAGTAGTTACAATAAATTTCAATTAAAATAAAATGTGGTTAATTTCGTTTGCGCAAGCAAACCTACCAATACCAACGAAATTTATAGGAGTCATGTTATTTAGCATTAGGTGACCATCTCGCTCACATAAAGCGGTAGATTGCCCGATGGCGTGAGGGGTTCGCAACACGCGCTTCAGCAGACACTTCTCATGAGTATTGTTCTATCATACAGTATCACCAGCAACGGCGATATCTACTTATTATGCAAGTTTTTTTTTACAAATAATGATCTGAATAATATGCAAGTACTTATTTTTCCTGTATCTCAAGGTTGAAATTCATTTGGCCGCGAAAAACCCTGTTACCTTAAATATCATAACTTGGCACTTGAGACCGATCTGTCATAATTATCTGACTAAACACTTATCTTAGTTATCAATTTATGATATTTTATTATAATTTATATGTAAGTAATAATGAATCATAACATTAGTGTAGTACAGCCGTGGTACAGCAGCGAGAATTTTTAACGAGAGAAACTTAAAATTTTTAACCATATAAATCTGTAATCAAATCACTACTAGTCTTTTTATAATTAACCATTTATTAACCATTGGCAGCCTAAATCAAATGACAATGATAAATGGGAAAACGTCAAATTAAGACGTGTTAACTTATTTTGCTAGGATAATGGTTTAAACCTGGTGCCATAGCTAATCCTCATAAAGTCACTTGTAAAATATCTATTGTGACTTGTTATCAGAGAGATAAAGAACACTTTCAATACTAATTTTGTTTAATATTCTGACTTATTGTCACAGATATTACCACTGATCTTTGTTTTGACTGGCTAGCTAACGCGATGTTCGCCCATGGTTATTTGATAAAATACATTATAAAAGAGATCCACACATTGCTGAAGTTGACAACCATTGTAACAATCATATAGGGCAGGAAATGGCGAGCTAACAATCAAGAGTGTGCGCACAGGCCGCTTGGTTCACGCGGCCTAGATTTGTTCACATGATGCAATAAAACAAAATCTATTCAGTACGTCATATAATAAAATCTGCAATTGGAGTATGTTAATATTTGATTTTTTATACTCCCTACTCTGAACTGTGTTCTATAATATGTACGTACCCATTTATATTCCCTTAACTTTGCCAAAGTAAATTATGGCTTTCGTCACTCGCGTATGAGGTACTTTCCGTAGGTGAAAGATTTTTAAAATATGTTCATTAGTTTCGTGTGTTAGAACACAAATAATCAGAAGGTCACCTTTCTAACCCTATTTATTCATCAAAACGATACTTTCTTTCATGTATCTATTTTTTTTATATCGTCTAAATTGGTATGGAATGATTTGATTTAATCAACAAACAGAAATTTCAACAAACTGATCAAGTGCGAGTCGGACTGGCGCACGAATGGTTCCGTACTGAAAACTAGCAAAAAATAGATCACGTTCGTTATATGTGAGCCCCTTTAAATATTTTTTTTGCCCCTTTAAATTTTTTTTTGTTGTTTTCTATCACGGTTCATGAGATGCAGCCCAGTGACAGACGGACTAACAGCGAAGTCTTAGTAATAGGGTTCCTGTTTTACCCTTTGGATACGGAACCCTAAAAAAGAAAGAAAATTTTTTATCATTGTGGTGGTCGTTAAAAAGAATTTCGACATTTACTAGACTGTTATCAAGAGCATGAGCAGCGTGATGATAGCGCCAGACTTGCCTCTGTTAAACAGCCATTCGGTTGTCAAGCAAATCTACCAAACAATTAGGTACTTATTGCACATGTGTAAATGATGTCACGCCAGAGGGACGGCGTGTGATCATTCCCAGGGCAGATCATGCACAGAGACAATTGATCTCCAATTGCTACGGTAGGTACAGACGGACTAGCATGTAATAAAAACAGTTATGAATGTCAAGAAACCAAAGATGTGACTACACAAAGGCAGAATACACTGCACGTGTATTTTTAAGAATATAAACAAGGAATAATCAGTCCTTTATCCACCAAATTCGGGGGATCTATTAATACTAACTTTGATGAAAGTATGAAAACTATAAGAATGCTCAGTAGTACCTTGCCATACAAAATCTAACTGCAACAAGTGATACACTCTCCACCATAGACCGCATACACCGATAACATTTCTTAGTCTTCAGTAGAACGACAAATCCAGAGATAGATAATTTTTGCTACCCACCATATACTTTTGAAGATAGATCTTAGGTTATTGGGAACAAGTGATAGACAGATAAATATTTGATAACTAGATAATTAACTACTGACCTTGTTGCTCAACTTTTTGCGTCCTCGGATCTTCCCATTTGATGTAAACCAGCGCGTACCAGTTGCCGGGCCTAGGATTCTTTATAGAGTAAGTCCGGTTTAGACCGTCCGACAACAGTTCTAGGGTGTGAATATTCCCTCTGGTGGCAGGATCCACGAAGCCTTTTGGAAAATCATACCCATCAGGGTTCACAGCTGGATACGAGCCGTGCTTTATATTTACTATTACTTCTTGAGGACTGCACGACCCTGAAACGAATGGAGACCATTTGTGAGACTTTTTATCAATTCTTCGATTGTAGATTTAAAAAACAAACATTGAAGATAACTAAACAAACATTTAGAAAATTTTCTTTACTGTGATCTGAATTAAGGGCTCACGTCGTCTTCCCTGAAAGCATCCTGTTAAATTTCAAGGGAAAAAGAAAGTATGAGACATTAACAGAAAGAAAGGAAATTCTATTCACATAATAAATAGAACTAACCCTATAAACGTAACGCCAAATTTTGTGCAGATAAAGCGTCAATACAAAACATGCAAACATTACATTTCAAGTGTTAAAATCCATGCTTCCAGGCTTTATCCTGAATCAGGAATCATTGCTATGACTCTCATATACAGCAAATAATAAATAAATAAAATTAAGAAAATAGGTATAAAAAAGCCTTCTAATATTACAGTAAAGTAAGTAATAAGATTATATTCAGAACTGTATTTACAGGTCTGGATGTCATAAAGGGTCCTTTAATATTAGGGATTGGTGGATTCTCACTCTCTTGTGACTTGCAGGCTGTAGTTATCCCATGTTAGGTTTACAGCATATAAATTTATAATCCATATAAATTTATAGTCTCTATCTTGCTCTTCCTTGCACCCATATCATAAAGATCCCAGAGAGAATAATGGACTCTTTAGTTTTCCCTTCTCTTTCAATGTAAAATGAGAAGACTTTGTTTTCAAATACAAAGCACAGAACATATCACTCTTCCATTTTTTATAACATAGTATCAATTTGTGAAAGTTTTTATATCTTTGAATCATTTTATATAAAAAAACTTGAAAAATAGCTTAAGACTCCAAATTAAAAACAATTCATTAAAAAAATGAAATGAAATAATACATTTTGATTCTAGGTTCATTTCAGATGCCTACAGATAGAAGAAAAAGAAACAGCACATAAACGTAATATAAACAAATTATATGTTTTTTTTTTTCTTATTCTGAAGTCTAATATAGATATAAATAAATAACACATATTAGTGTAAGTTGCAGCATTGTTAATTGTGCACCTACCAATATTATTCAAATGTAGCTCCTCCGACTGGAATGTAAAGCGGGCATCGGTAACATCCCTCATCACAGGATAAAATATAACAGAAACAGTGCGATAGCTCCTAAACATATATACATCAGTGGCTATCTGTCTAGTCACCAAATGATAGTCATCCAGTAGCACCGTGCGTGTTCTCGTCAACTGCTCGATTATTTTTTTCCTGTTGCCATCTTCTTCGACTTCCTTGTCCCCGGCGTTTGCTACACTACACATGTATAACAATATAAAACAATAAACTTTCATTTCACCCGCCTACCTTCTACGAGCAGTCGAAATAGTACCGTAAAAACTACTCCAAAACTTCCTTTACAAATTAATTATACTTGATTATCCATTCTATTTATTGTCTCTTATCTGCTATGGACGGTGGACAAGAGTCTTATATATATATATATATATATTGTATATCAAACACAATACACTAAAGAAAGATGGGATATCATGCCCGTACACCTGACAACAATCCAGCAATCACTGACAATTTATTTTCTAAGGGAACAAACACAATTTATTGCCTTCCATCGGTCATTTATCCACTCCAGCACGAAAGCACCACCAACAAAGAGTATTTGTCAAACACACAAACCACATATTATAGTATGTCACTTTGATTGACAGACATTATCAGTATGAATCGTCCATAGTCGACAGGCGCAGAGAATTACCTATACAGCCAAATTTTAAGAAAAGTTCAATATTGTAGCGCAGTGTGACTTGGATTTTTATAATAGATTTAATAATCTGTCGTAAATGCCAAAATGCGTGCTTTTGTAAGCGTTTGAATGGGGCTCAACTTAAATTCTACTTGTTACAAAAATCTTGCAATTCATGATGGTGTTAGCATAAGGCTTTTTAATCATGTTTTCATGTATCATTTCATAACGTCACAGACAACAGAGTACTTATTTGATTTGAAGAAACTAGCAAGTAATAACTAAGGTGTTATTAGTATATCTTTTGATTACTACAAAATTTTAGTAGTAAAAACGGACAACTATGATATTAATTAATTCAAGTGCTTTATGTTTAAGTTAATGGCTTCAGTCAGCAATACAACTAGATGCCCGGTCAGCCTAAAATATGTCCGAAGAAATAACGCCTCACTTCAAAGCGAGGTAAAATTTTTTAGTTTATGTGTTGCCATATGTACAGATTTCATCGTATTTATACAGATTTTCGGTGTGTAATACAGATTAGCAATATACAGGTTTTTGCCTAATGAAACGAATGAGGAAGTATTAAAAAAAACCGAAAGCACTAAAAAGCACCTCCACTAGATGGCGATGGAGTAAAAGTTGATTTTTGCAGGAAACGAATGGACCAAAGACAGTCATTTCCGTTCTTTTCAACTAACATATTAAATAACTGAAATTTGAAAAGTTCGAAACTGAGATATCAATACAAATACGAAAAAGTAGAAATAGAATATGAGTTGTTTGCTGAGTTTTGAAAACTAATTTACTTGTAAACATGAAAGAAAACCGGAAGGGTTGTCATGGAGAAATTAAGAACGTAGACAATTATTGTCGCCGAAGTGTTATCACAGGATATACTAAAATGTATTTGTGTTTTGGTTGTCACATTGCATGGCGCTGTATTTTAGTATTTTTTTTTTATTAAATAAGGCGTTATCTATTTGTATTTTTGATGGAAAGGTGAATCATTTCATCAATCATTTTGAATTAAACTTTAGAAACCAAGCATAGACAATGGAATGCATAACTTATTCTAGGAATAAACAATTTTGACACTTGAGTTTCGCATGTTAAATCGGGTTGCTAGAGAATAAGTTTTCCTACAAAATAGGGTAATGTTCATAATTATTGAGTTGTTAGTAATATGTATTAGGTAAAATAAGGTGCGGACGGAAGGGGAAAGCTGACACCCCAGGAAAGTTAAGCGAACAGTTCATTGTCTGAGGAAAAGGCTGTTTTATACCTGAACCATTTCCTTCCCACTAACGGCGACCTCCTCTCCGGGGGTCTAAACGTGGGAGCTAGGTGTGGTGCCTCCTGTCTGCTGTCCTTCCCCAAACGTGACGAAGCATCGGAGGGGGTTTAGTGATAATGCGATCCACATTTTGACTATCCTTCATATGCATATATCCCATTTAAATTAAATCAAATCAGCAATTTTCTTTTTAAAACAAAACAAAATGTGTTTTTTTTTAATCAAAATGTTTTGATGACATGTTTATATCAGACAAAAAGCAAAATATTGCATATTTTGCATTCTTTTAAAACTTAAAAGAGAATTTTCTGTTCAACAGGTATATATATTTTTTATGTTAGTAGGTATGTTCACCGATTTCTTCTTGAATTCTGAATCAATTGCTATTAAACCAACTGTTTCCTCGTGTTTTTGCCTGCATAAATTATAGCCTATGTCCCCCGAGTATTATGTAGCTTCCCGAAGATGAAATAATTTTATAATTGATCAGATAGTATCGGAGCCCTAAGCCCTTTCAATGCAAACAAACAAGCAACCAAATCTTTCCTCTTAAAATATGGTAGGCAATACTAGACCATACAATTGGGGAAATTTACATTATAAGTATGACAACATTTTAAAGAATTTTTGCGCGCAACGGAGGCCGCGGTGTGCGCATGTCTCGCTCTTTCTTGTTAGAAATCACGAGTTTCTAATAAATAATGGCTTCGGCAGCAACATCGAAGCATACAGAGTTAAACGGCGAGATGTCGTCGTGTGTCTGTCCGTGCAAAAAATCTAAAATGGATAGTAATAAAGTGACTGTTGTGTTAGGTGCTCAGTGGGGTGATGAAGGAAAAGGGAAATTAGTGGATTTGCTCGCCGTCAATTCTGATATAGTTTGCCGCTGTCAGGTAATAAATGTACAAAATCGTATCATATTCACTAGTTTATGGTTAAAATTTTAACTTAAACTTTTATTTATTTTTTATTAGAGTGCACGTGAGCCAAGTTTAGAAAGATTATCGAATTGTTTACAGAAATGTATATTTGAGGTTATGACTAGTAACGGCGATGGTCGTTCAGATTATTATTGATTTTGAATTTACTTGATAATTTCTTAGGATGTTATGGTGATAACATACAACATAATACTTGATTAAAAAGCTTGTTTCGTTGGCATCATGCCAAGTTTTGTTTGAAAACATGCGGATTACACGAGTGTTGTTGTGTAAGCGATAGTTTCGTTATCGATAGTTTTAAAGACGGTATATTTAAAAACAATTTTAGGGTTACCCTTAAAATTCGCTATTTATTTTCAGTTTATTTTCGTTATTTTATGGCAGTTCGAATTAGCGTGGCTAACATTTCTTCAGAAAAATATAATATATTTTTAGAATAAGCTATAGAAAAATATAATACTCTCAAAAATTATACTTTACTTTCATGTGGAGGCATAACATAAGGGAATCAATGTATATTCTCCAGGCTAGAAAATGCCTGTGTTATTCTAATTTTTTTTTCCCCTAATTTCACATCTTTTCATTCATTTTTTCAAAAAAATACAAATACATATTTCACTTCACCTGTCTAAATTATAGCTTATGTCACTGGCATACAATTTAGCTTAACATAGGGGGAAAGCATTTTTAAAATCAGTCCAATAGTTTTGTAGTTAGTCTATTCAGTGTAAACAAACAAACAATGAAGTCTTCCCTCTTTACAGTATATTATAATAGATAAATTTGGTAATACATTTTAGTTTCTTTAAATTACTGTCAATTTTCTTTAGTTTTTTATTAGCTTTAACTGAAAGCGCACTACAAATATTTATTTGCAAGTTAAAAGCATAAATGACAATGTTTATTGACTTTGTTTATTAAATAATTTCTAAACTATTTAATTGCTTAGTGAAGAACTAAAAATTAGTAGACAAATACTAATTTTTAGTCCAGCATTTTCAAGGGCTTCTCTTCTGGTTTCCAAAGTACATTTCGAATTTGATTGGATAAGCACAATACTGTCTGCTGAAATAATATTCCAGGGTGTAGGTTATTGTGTATCACCTATTAAGTAGTTAATCACTATACTACTCTTGAATAACAGGGATATTCAATATACCTAGTTCAAATTATTTAACTCCAAGTCACCTAATGTAATATGGAGCTCTGAGGGTTTTATGAAACACTTTTACAATAATAGTTAAAACAATCAAAAATAATACCAAATATGCCATCCATGTTCTTATCTATCTTTTTAAATGGCACTTTGATGTTGTCTAGTTTTCACTTTTTTCTCAATGACCGTCCTTAAAGTTCAACATAGGATGTAGGTAATTATCCCATGGATTACTTCCTGCTATATTGTAAAATTATCAATAATCGATTGATCAAGGCAAAAATATTCTTTTGTAATTAATAAATATGGGTAATTGATAGGTAGACTACACATAATGAACATAAAAGGACTTACTATCTATCCAAAGGTTGTCTTTAAGAAATAGCAATAAGCAATAAGAAAAGAACACCCTCTTGTGGTGCGTGTGGGTGTACAACAAAAATATTTGTATTGAATTAATGCTCTTTTTAATAGTACCTATATCATATCTTTATCAAATAATAGCAATAATATTGTTATAGTGCGGTTTTTTTATGTGCTGTCAATATTCTTAACTACTGCATTCTTCACGTCATTTAACTCCAATGATTGCTAAAGAAAAACCTGTGGTTTTATAGATACGAATGACAATAGTTGCAAAGAAAGTCAATTTTATCATGTAAAAAAAAATATAAATATAGTCTAAACTACTCTAGTGTCGTGCATCGTAATTAATACAATGTAACTAATTTCATGCAACTAGTTTTTATGCCAATTCGGCTTCATAATAACAATGAATAATTTATTTCAAGCATAAAGGCACATATCACAATTTACAATCATAATTTGTGATCACGATATCATCGACATCGCGACATCACTAGTTGGTGATGTAAATACAATGTTTTGTACGAAATTTGGACTTTGCGTTGGAGCCAACTGACTAATGTTTTAGCGGGCTCTGCCTCTATTACGTAAATTATACAATTGTTATGTAAATGTGATATCAAAAGAGTAAAAATATTCTTTAAAATGCATGTTCGTATGTTTCATATCGTTATTTAAGTGATTATAACAAGTATAGAACTACAAATAGACCTTGCTGTGATTACTCTGATAGCTAATTGTGGATTCCTGCCAAGGTCTGGGCCACTCATTGTGTCAGTTATTCTATATCGATCACATTTTTTTTTTCTCAGTCTGAATAAAATAAGTTGGTTAGCTAAAATAGATTTAGCTTTATCTAAAATTATAACAAATGTTATGAGCTTAATAAAAAAATTGTGCAGTTAAATGTCATCCATATCCAGCCTATTGACGACCTCACTGTTAGAGCACAGACCTCTATGGATGGAACCAACTCAAATAACAGCCAGTTGCACAAACGTCTATTAAAATTGTCATTAGTTAAAAAGCGACATTTCCCGTACAAATTTGACATTCATTAGGGCTTTAAGGTGTCATTAAACCTTAATGGACATTAGTGCAACTGACCTTAAAGGCCATAAACCATCACGGTCAAGTTTTTTTTACTATAGACGCAGTCGTGCTCAACTCTTTAACGTGCTTTAGGGAGCTCAAGATGAATAAATTATAGTCACCCATCCTATGGCTGGCCCGTGCGAACCTTGCTTAACTTCCGTATCGCAGACTGGATCTGCTAACCACTGCGCTATCGAGCGTATTAAAATTAGGTATATTTAAATATATACTTTATCAATATTTATATAAAATATATAGATATTGTGGCTCTAAAACGACAGTTTAATTGTTGTTTTAAGCGAATAACTGACAGTATCTGCATTAAACCGCACCTTATTGATAGCGTTTAAGATAAACTGGTTTCTTACTCTGAAAAAAAGTAGGTATCTTTATTGATTGACAAGTTATGTATCTATTATTTTTTTATATACTATATGTGTTACATGTGTAAAACTTACTTCATATTTATATTATCATCATCATCAGCCCTTTTATGTCCCCACTGCAGGGGCTCAGGCCTTCTTTATGGATGGTTAAGGAGGATGAGCCATGACCCTCCACGCTGGCCCAATGCGGATTGGAGGGTATTAACGACTGCAAATGCAGCCGGGACCAACGGCTTAACGTGCCTTCGGAAGCACGGAGTAGCTCGAGATAATAATTTTTTGGTCACCCATCCCGTGACCGACCCCTGCGAAAGTTGCTTAACGACAACGATCGCGGGCCGCGGCGCTTAACCACTACGCCACCGAGCTACTCATATTTATATTTAAAGATTATTAAATATATTGAGTTCTTGATGTGCCATACATTTATTATTACTTGTCTGCTTGTAGTTCATACAAAACAGTACCTATAATAAACACGAACGAATTAGACCACCTAGGGAAAGTGATTTTTTTAAGTACACCAATCCTCAATAAGATTGCTGAGATAAAACTTCTAGTGGATGGACTAACTGCTGGCTTGCATCGCAAACATTGCTGGTTATGCCTATGTAGATATTTAGCTAACCTAGGAAAATAATACACTCTGCCCTTCGCACTAACTATCACTTTTATGTAATGAGCTTATTATTCTAAAAAGTATTTTAAATATATTTACCGCTGTGGGTAATTGGGAGCCCCTTACCCCTAGGAACCCTTTCAAACACGATCACGAAATACTTGGAACAAACTTCGTCTATAATCCAATCCTTCACATCCAGAGAGATATTTAATATAATCATACCCCATTTGAATGCTAAACCCTGTAAATAAGAAAACATTTAGGAAACCCAAAAAATAACGTTAAGATTAGGTTTCAATATTGAAATGGTGTGCTACTGGCTCCTGGTGTGGGACTGGCGCACCTACCCTATTATTGTTACTTTAAAAATTCAATTGTAGTAAGCGAAATACATTTCTTTTAACTGTGTCATTTGTTGATGTTTCTCAATATTAATTTGGTGCTTTGAACCAATTTCGCAATTGCCCTTTGTGTTAAGTGAAATCTTTATCTCATTAGAATCAAGGCCTTTACACTTTCGTTATTTATGGCGCCATTGTGATAGAAATGAGAATTGATCGATTTGTGTAATTAAAAAAAAAAGTAATAATGTTTTGAATTGAAATTACATTGAACTGACAACCCGAAATCAACATACGTCGTCACACTTCAGTCGGTATTATCTTATTATTATAAATATTAGAACAAGAACGTAGGTATTTACATATCTACGTACTTTTTCCATTACGTACAAAACAATACAAGAAATAGGTATTGAAAATGTAAATAAGTACATACCAGAAAAAAAAGACTATTCGGTGAAAACTTGTTTCATTCGTTGTAGTAATTTTAAAGGCACTTTTATTATTCTTACTATATCTTTCCAGGGTGGTAATAACGCTGGTCACACTGTAGTCGTCGACGGTAAAGAGTTCGACTTCCATCTGCTACCAAGTGGAATAATCAATCAAAAATGCAAGTCCGTCATCGGTAAGTTATTTAAATCCAAACTTACTAATTAGACTATTGAAATTGTTTACATCATCATCTAATTTATTGTATATCCCCATTGCTGAGGCACAAGCCTTTCTTTTCGATTTAATCCAATAGCGATAATGGGCACAAGTCCTCACCACGCGGGCCCAATGAGATTAGTATATGTAATTTAGCTAGGCCTGTATCCAATCTCGGTATTTGTGGGACTAGGAATTTTCTATCCCGTGGGATCCCATTATTTATCACTTCGAATTGAAATACCGAAAAACGAAAAGCCGTTAACTACGAACTAACTTACTATTAAATTAAAATATAAACCAAACATTTTCATTTTAGATTGGTTATTTCGTCCTTCAGTTACCGAGCGATCGCTCTCGCGAGTGATCTCGTGTCTTTCCAGTCCCCCAAAGCCCGTAGACCCCGCACCCGTTGTCCCCTAACACGGGACAAAGGGTGCGAAATACCGAGATCTCGGTATTCCGAGATTGGAAGCTCTAGCTAGTTTTGATGATTTATCATTATCATATAGGAGAGTAATTAGTTCCTTATGTAATAAAACTTAATGAATTCTTCTTTTACAATAGGGATGATGACTGGGTAAAAAAAATGCAATTCTATTTAGTCCGTCAGTCAGATAATAGAAGAATATTAGATACGTATTTTTTTTGTACTTCAAATTAACAAGCAATAGCTAACAGGCTAATTAGATAACAGGCATTAAAGTTGAGGAGTGGGGGCTCGCTACGTCATAGTTGAGTAGAAAACGTACTCTAACGTGACGTCATGCGAAATTTCAACTCGATGTAACGCCGTAATTTTATGAATACGAAAAAAATAAAAAAATAAGTGTTGAATATTTTTTTACACTCTACCTGACGGACAAACAAACAAAAATTAGTCATCATCCCTATTGCATAGCAATAGAACCCATCCGTGATGAAGCACATGATCGTTGAAAATGAGATAATGAGTTTACCGTTTCGGACGCCATGGCAACTTAGATTCACGTCCAGTTGTGAAAAAAGAGTTTTTATTATTATATTTGATCAATTTTGCATACACAATGCTTTACAAATAGATTTATTTAATGAAAAATGCTTAAAATCTGGGGTACACATACATCTAGGGATACTGGCTTGGGGGATTTTCAAAGCCTTTTTTGTTAGTTTTTTTTTTTTTATCGAAACTAGCATTTTCTAAATATTCTTTGTTGGCAACTGGTTGCGAATAAATAATCTTCTACCGCCACTAGTTTCTAAAAAAGAATAAAAAATCCTTTTTCACCTCTGGACTCAGTTGCGTTGGCAGCAATGATACCTATGTGCCACTTATCTATACTAATATTATAAAGAAGAAAGATTTGATTGTTTGTTTATTTGCATTGGTTCTGAATAGGTTCTGAAATAACTGGACGGATTTTGAAAATTCTTAACTCATTCACGGATATTGGCTTTAATTGAGTCGGACGAACTCGCGGGAAAACAGCTACTATAGAACACGTGTACACAAATAATATGTACTACCAATTTGTCTAATCACCTCTTCATGTTTTGGGTGCCAAACATGACTGTGCCATTATATCATTTTGGCAGCTGAACTCGCGGTATTTGAATGGTTTATAGGAAGTGAATGCTATATTATCATTATTATGCTAAATGGTCGCCGAGATTATGAGAATATGAGAATGCCGAGATTATGTACAGTGACCAATTATGTACATTGTACAATGACCAAAAAGGAAAAAGAAAACATTTGTGCAACTGGCTTTTAGACGTATAGAGACAGCCGATAACGTTTCGCGTGGCATCAAGTTCGTGTACCAAGAAATCTATACTAATATTATACATAGGTTAAGTTTCTAACTTTGTTTGTTTTTACTAGTAATCTTGGGAAATACTGATCAGAACATGAAAATCATATCACCTACATCATGCACTGGTGACACAGGCTATAATTTACGCGGGTGAAGTCACGGGAAAACAACTAGTATTGTCTGTTAACTATCTAAGTAAATCCGTGATAGAGCTAAAGAATCTCTTTCGTTAAACAGAACTCAAGTAAGGTTTTGTCTATATCTTTTTTGGATTTAAACTGAGATGTCGTTGTCGATATGAGCATGAGAAACTACTAGCCGATGGCAGAGAACGCATCGAGAGGTTTAAAATAGCCTTCAAAAATTGTAATAACTTGACGCGCTGCTATGTGTACACACAGAAACCATGTATGAATCATTCTGCACCATCGTAATCAAAATATTTTTAATATTTGTTTGTACAACTCGTTCTTAATACCAGTATTCTTTGTTTAAAAAATATGTTGGGAATGTTTTTGGTTCTAGATAAATAAATTCTTGTGGCTTATTTCTTATGGTTGAACACATAGTAGTTTTAAATTTAAAAAAAAACTTCGTATCAGCATAGTTATAATCGTCCGGCGCACGGTCACGGTCGTCGCTCCAGGCCCTACACAACGAGAATACACACGTGATAGATAACCGTTCGTTCAGTGATATTATTAACTCGGGAACGAGTTTATAACTACTGTTTCTCAAAATATAAAATATCTTCTGAACTTTTCTGTCCCATCCATCCCAAGCAAGCATCTCGTTACCCTTAACATTTTAAGAGTTTTAAATCAGCTGAATTTATTGGTTTAGGTTAGAAACCCTGCTTAATGACTCGAATTTTAGAATTCTTTGTGTATAAAATTATGCATTGCCAGAATTCTAATGTCATTCTGTCATTAACTTGCTAGGTGTAAAATAAAACTCACCAAAAACATCCTGTATAAAATAACCTAGTATTTATAGGAGTTTTTGGTGGATTTCTTCTTTCTGCAGAAAGCTATCTTCATTACACTAAAATAACTTTAGTAAAGGCGCATTTTCAAATCTTCTACAGTTCAGATTCATGAAGAGAGCCCAAAAGCCCAAGGTTCTCCATTAGATACACCAGATCTTCAATTTTTTAAAATTTTAATAGAAAGGGTTAACTACGCTTTATAATTTTTCTGAACAAACCATGTCGATAACGTTAATGGTTTGGCGGATCTGTAACGCTTTCTTCGCAGGGTCATCAGGTACTCCAGATCTTCCATGTGGGATCATGCTCTGATAGATATGCGATCACGAATATGGTCTTTTTTCGGTTGTTCAAAGAAATAGAAAGTGATAAATAAAAATTTTGCAGTTAATCTGTATAGAATTACCCGAACATAATGATAATAATCAATCCGGTTAACCCGTAAGCACGATTACGTCGATTATTGACTATCGGCCAGTTGCACAAACGTACATTAAGGTTTAATGACGCCTTAAAGCTCTAATGAATGGTACATGTGTATGGGTACTGTCGTTTTAAAACAGTGATTCCCTAAATGGTCCAGGTGACTCCCAGGGGTTCACGAAGAATTCAACGGGGGTTGGCGTGAAATAAAAACAATTTCCATCGTTAGATCTTCACATTTAGGGAGAATTTTGGGAATATGGTAAAAATTTAGCAGCACGGGGTCCACCGAAACCAGTTAATTTTTTAGAATGGTGTTCGAGAAAAAATTGTTTGGCAACCTCTGCTTTAAACTAATGACAAGTTTAATGGACGTCTGCCCAACTGACTGTATGACACGTGGTAAACGGCCACCACATAACAGAGAATCGAGCTCGTTTAACAGAAGCCCTTTTTAAATGTTTTCGACGGCTGCATATTTTGTAACTTCGCACTATATTGAACTTGAATATTGACATTACAAATATTATATTCGACTAGCTGTTTTCCCGCGACTTCGTCTGTGTAAATTGTAAAATGACAGAATTTTCACGAGTGCGTCATTATTTCCCAGATTACCCGCAAAAGAAAGGTGGAAACTTAACCTCATCATAACATTAGTATAGATTAATACATCAAACTAGCTTTCCTCCAGCGGCTTCGCCCGCGTGGTTCCTAGGGAACTGTTTATCGGGATAAGCTCATATTTTAATCTAAGGAATTTAATTAATTAATTCATAAGATTCCGTATTGGGACATATCATAACACGGATATAATTATTAATTACAGTGACATATTGATGAGTAAACAATGGTAACTTTTTAATTCCCTATAAAAAATTCCACTCCCGTTTTCATCCTGTAGCGCATATGATGTAGCTTCCTGTAAGTGAAAGAATTATTAAAATTGGTCCAGCAGTTCCGGAGCCTATTTGATGCAAACAAACGAACAAACAATCAAATCTTATAATTATAATATTAGTACAGATACACGTCGGTCACACACACCCGCTCGCTACGTAATTCCAACCTTTTTTTTTGTGTTCTTTGAATGGTGTTTACGTAATGTTTTTGGCGCTGACATGTATACGTCACGCCGAGAGATGAGATGCTGAAAATAGTATCTAGTAATTGGAAGAGGGGAAGCTATTTGTTGACTTTCCCAATCAGAATACCGGGTAGGTATTCTGATTGGGAAAGTCAACAATATGCCAATCAAAAAAAAAGAATTAAGTTTTTGGTTAGATGTGTTAGTTAGTATGCGCCAAATCTTGCAGGCGAGAGCGCTTGCTTCCCATTTTTCGATTGAGAAAAATTTTGCATGCATTATAGCTTAGATGATAATTCAATATTTATGGCGCTGAACTGATGATAGAGTCGAAAGAACCCCAAGTTTATGCTCGTTTAATTGGTCTATACAAAAAATAGCGTTCTCCTTGTACAAAAAATGCTTAATCCGTTTAGCAATCGAGACTCAGATTAAGCATTGCTATTTAACAATATATTATCGCTGGCGGAAAGCTAGTACAACCTAATTTAAACATTGATTGATTTAAAATTTCAATATTTTATCTGAAAAGATCAATTTAAAATATAAAGAATAATAAATGAATAAAAAATAAACAACATTACAATATCAGACAATATTATTGTTATTATTATTGAATTCAGTGTCTCAGAAATGACGACACTTTGAAACCTCTCGGCTACGGAGGTTATAGTAAAATCTCTAAAAATTTAGATTCTGAATAAATGCCATAGTAAATACCGTCTTGTACATTTTTTTTCCAGCAGATCTTGCTTTCGATAAGAATTTTAACAGGAGTGTATCTTCCTGCAGCCCGGTTTTAAAAATGGTACTTTCGAGGAAAACCCGGAGTCCTAATATTAGAACAAATTGATATAGTCCTGAAGGTCCAGATCATTTTTTTTTATTTCTCTGTAACCACAACAAATAAAGGTGTCATATTTCCAAAATATTTTGCTCTTTGTTTATTTTAAAGCAGTTTGTATAATCTGAGAAATCTCATTAGAAATAGGAATTGATACACTTAATATAACAAAAAGCTGTTATTATTAATCATGTCATAATGTGCCAGACCCAGCAATAATTAACCCTAAATTCTCAAAAAAAAATCTCAAAATTTGGTACCAAGACTTGCAAAAGTATCTTTCCTCGTCGTCTTCTAAATCAGATTGCTAAGGAATGATCGATACTCAATTATCTTTTGGAGTTTTTAAAGAAATTTTGAGCCCGGCCTAGAACTATTAAATATATTTTTTTACCACAATTCGCTGAAATTAACTGAATTCCCTGGATGCGTAACTAGAAGAAGACCACTCTAGGACGGAAAGGTTGTTTGGCAAAGTACTTCCAAACATAGGGTAGCTGAGAGTATATATCATAGTCGATTACTGAAAGCTGTAGTTGAAACCTGCAATGGTATTATTGTTTTAAAATTCCTAATATTGTCTTCGTAACTCATAAATATCGCGTGTCCCACGAAACATTGGCGATCATTATGCTTCGAAAATTTGTAAACAACATGACAATTACGTGAAATAAAAATATTACGGAGGTATTGTACCATGGTACAGATCGCTTTCAAGGTTGGAAAATATTAAAAACTTAAATGGTTATTTCTGTGCAAGGTTATAGTTTATGGTTAGTGAGAAGTTAGATAAGAAAATGATTGGAGATGCAAATTAAATAAGTGTAGAAATGAAGAATACTTTGAAAACTGCAAGCAAAAACAACTCGGTTGCAGACAACAGGCAATTTTGGAGAATTAATAAAATTTTTATATTAAACAAAATACTTTTTATATGTCAATGTTTCTACTTTGAAAATTTTTTTTTTTTTTTGCTACAGGCAACGGCGTCGTGATCCATCTGCCAGGTCTCTTCGAGGAGTTGAAGAAGAACGAGCTGAAGGGCATGCACGGCTGGCAGGACCGTCTCATCATCTCCGATAGGGCTCACCTCGTATTAGATTTACATCAACAGGTAGATATCGCAGACATGGTTATTAGTAAATGCCTAGTATTTTAGCTATTCGACAACAGTATTAAAATAGTTATGCAGCAACTTCTTTTTTAGTAGTGATAGAGGGAATTTCCCACAAATCATATCTAGGGAAGTCCCGCTATTATTTATCTCAACTATATTTTTAAACGGAAACAACTGAGCATCATTTACAACTACTCCAATTATACTTTGTTCCTGGAGCGGCGCCGGCTGCAGTTGTTTAAATACAGGATATGGACAGTAATAAAACGTATTAACAATGTTATATCGCTGTAGATATCACTTGGTGTTTGTTTACGAAGCAAAACGTTTGTTGTGATAAAAATGCAGCTGCCGTATGTTTGGGAATACTTTGCTCACAACTTTTCCGCCCCAGAGTGATCGTTTTCAGAGAATTCCGCTGGCCAATGTCAATTACGTTTGTTTTCATACCTATCTCCTGATTTCTAAATGACGGGTTCACATTCAAAATCCGCAAAAAAGTTTTTATGACAACGGAGTCTGGACTATTTAATTTAACTGCATACACGCATTTCTTTTTAAATTCACCATTTAATTTGCAACAGAACTCTTTCATTGATTTGCTAACTTAACGTAGAAAAATCAATGTTTGTTGTCAAATTTATGCAATAATAAAAATATATATTTTCAAAAGTTCGATATTTATTTAAAAAAAAAAGATTTTAGCCAGTTTTGAAAGTAGACTCGAGCGAGTTTTGAACCTTATTTCTCCTATCGATATCCTAATTTCAAATTATATACAAGCATTGCTCTCTATAATTAGCGTTTGCATGATATTGCAAACGCTAATTATACCATTACAGTTGGAGAAACTTCACTCATCAAAATATAAATTAAAATAATCGGATAGACCTTTATCAATACTACAGTGGAATCTCGATAACTCGTATGTCAAGGCCAATATTTTGGAGTAAATGAGTTTTCGACTCAACCAGAACTCGAAATTCTTTAACTAAATGATGATTTAACTAAAATTTCGATAAAGAAAGGCGCTTTGAAATAATATTTCTCTTAAATTTTATGGCACAAAATTTATCAAAAGAAATTACATACAAATGTATTAGTCTAGTAAACTGTACAAAAAACTACATAAAAATCTGTTATCTAATTAGATACGTATTTTTTTTACTTCAAATTAACAAGAAATAGCTTAGATAAAGGGCATTAAAGTTGAGGAGTGGGGGCTCGCTACGTCACAGTTGAGTAGAAAACGGACTCTGACGTGACGTCATGCGAAATTTCAACTCAATGTAACGCCGTAATTTTATGATTACGAAAAAAATACGTGTTTAATATTTTTTAACACTACCTGACGGACAAACAAATAAATAAATAATTAGTCACCATCCCTATTTAGAGATATAAAGTATAAATATGAACTATCAATACCTCATAGGGAATTTACATTTTGTTCGAGTTATAAAGTCTAAATAATTCGATATATTGCTGATTTGGGGGTTCAGCGGAAGGGAAATAAAAATTAATTCCGACTTACTGAGGATTACGACTTAACGAGGTTCGAGTTATAGAGGTTCCACATGTATATTATTATTAAAACGGACCTATAAAACATATATGGAGTTTGTCGAGAATGGCATACATGATAACATAAAGTATTTTTGGACCTATGTTAATAATAATAAAACCACTGCTGAAATCCCAAGTAGAGTATCATATGGAAATAGGATTGCTGATAAATCGGACGATATCTGTAACCTATTTTCATCATTCTTCGCGTCTGTATTTGAACCCTCAAATCTAGATAAGGATTATGACATAAACCATCTTTCAGATACAAATAATGCTTCTAATATTTTTCTTAGCAACATAATCTTCACTACCAAAGAAGTACTTAAGGGTTTACGTAATTTAGACGCATCTAAAGGTCCTGGTGTTGACAATATCTCACCATTCTTCCTAAAAGCAACTGCCAGCACACTATGTCATCCTATTCAGCTTATTTTTAATAAATGTTTAAAGGAAGGGACATTTCCGACTATATGGAAGGCGGCTCGCGTTGTTCCGATTTTTAAGGGAGGTGATAGAACTAATGTTGAAAACTACCGTCCTATATCCATTTTGTGTACTCTGTCGAAGCTCTTTGAGCGGCTTGTACACAACAGTATTTATCCGTCACTACATGCAATTATTATCGAACAGCAACATGGATTTGTAAAACGAAGATCAACTTGTACAAACCTATTGATATATGTATCGCATATTTTTGAAAGTATTGATGCAAACAAACAAGTAGACAGTGTGTATACTGACTTCCGGAAGGCTTTTGACAGGGTTGATCACAGGATACTGTTAGACAAGTTAGCATACAATGGAATTCGTGGTGACCTATGGAGATGGTTCAAATCTTATATAACCAACCGCACACAAAAAGTTGTAATTAACGGATTTGAATCAGATTACACATCAGTAAGTTCAGGCGTTCCTCAAGGCTCCTTGGCCCATTACTGTTCATAGTATTTATAAATGACATAAATAGATGTTTCCAATTTTGCAATTTTCTTTTGTATGCGGATGACTTAAAAATATACCACGTAATTGAAAATTTTGATGATCATTTAAAGTTTCAGGCTGATCTTGATCGCTTCTCAGATTATTGTTATGAAAATAAACTAAACTTAAGTATCAACAAGTGTAAAGTCATTAGTTTTACAAAAAAAGTAAAAAATAGTTGTTACAACTACAGTTTATCTGGTATGCAGTTGGAATCAGTTAACTCAATAAGAGACCTTGGGAAAACTCTAGACACTAAAATGCACTTAGATCTACATATATACAATATTGTTAATAATGCTTTTAAAATGTATGGATTCGTAATGCGTATTAGTAAAAACTTTGCAAAGGTTTCCACATATGTGTACTTATATAAATCTTTAGTACGGTCACAACTTGAATATGCTGTGCCCGTATGGAGTCCTTATTATAATAAATACGTTGACGTAATCGAGCGCGTCCAAGAAAAGTTTCTACGCTGTATGCACTTCAAATGCTCTCGTGGTCGCTTAGCTTACGAACAACTACTCGATAGGTACCAACTTCTTAGTCTAAAACATAGACGTTTATATCTCAGCGCAGCCTTGTTGTATGACCTATGCCATAACAGATACGATTGTATTCCTATAGTTGATAAGATACGATACAGAGTACCCACCAGAGCCCATGCTCGCACTCTTTGTCGATTGTTTGCAACTCCTCCGTGTCGTACTAATGCTGGTAAACGTTCACCCCTGTATAGACTGGTAGACTCATATAATGAGTGGTTCAATACAGTCGACATGGCGGTGACGAACATAAATATTTTCAAAAAATTGTTATTGGTAAATCTTAAGTGAATTGCTTAATATACATTATATACTTATGTGGTACTTTCAGGGAAAGCGTACGAGGCTTATCAGCCACTATAAGTAAATTTAGTTTAAAGAAATTATTATAACTGTATGTTTCAATTATTGTTTTCTCTCTATTTTTTAAATTGTAAGGCCAATCGCTAGATTGATGTACAGTACACAATATAGTATATTTACTTAAATAACGCTTAGTGTAACAAAACTATATTTACATGTAACTTAATCTTGCGATCTGCGCCAAGTTCTTGTATTGTCCCTTCTCTATCTATGATTTTGTATGACACCCATAACACCTTCATTATATACTTTACTTTCACTCTTAATTGTATGTAATTGATAAATATGTGGTAAACGGTGCTGGTGTCAAAGTTAGTAATATAGTATACTACTACTAATTAATATATTGTAATTACTTTGTAACTGTTTGTTTACCCAAATAAATAGAAAAAAAAAAAAAAATTAAGAAATAATGTTAAATGTTCAATGTAGTATTCCCTTCGAAGACAATGTAAATCGACCTTTACAAATACTTGGCAATGACTATAATAGCGGTAATAAAATGCTAAAATTATTATTTTTTTGTATTCTCGTTAGTCTATTTGTGTTTCAAATTATCGCGGTGACACTACTATGAGAACACACTATATGTTAAATACACATTCTGTAATACTAATCATGACTGAAATTCACGCTTTTAGGTATATAATATGTAGAATTGTCCTAAAGAAGCTCGCAACGTAATAATTTATCATTAATATCTGTTTATTTATGTGAGGCACAAATTTTAAGTCATTTGAACCGTAAACATTTAGAAAGATCTTTAAATTATACAATAACACAATTCTGTAAGCAGTCACGTGACGTCACAATATAGAAACCAAGGACACAGAGCATGCAAATTGTTTCCACTCCGAACCCATAAGCAACAGAACAAGTCTGGATTGTGTTAGATATCGTTGGATTCAATTCAATCCAATTTTAATTTAGACTAATTGTACAGATAAAAGTTTTTACTACGGCGATTAAATAACAAGATTATGTAACGCTGAATAAACAGTACACTTCATTTGTCATTTTATCATCACTATATGCTGATAAAATTTTAAGTGTGTATATACAGTCGACAGCACACCAAGCTATACTAAACTGTCGAATTTCTCCGCTTAAATTTAAACCTCAATACAATGAGGATATAATTTAAAAATTAACTGTCGAAATTTGAAATTGTGGTGCCTGCCTGACGTTTAAACTTTTTGGAAGCGTCAATGTGATATATCGTGGCCGAATTAAAAAAAAAAATAGTGCCAACACTTTATTTAAGAGTAAATAATCACTAACTTTCAAACTAACTACAAGGTTTTGTACAATAATACGCCCACCATTCTCTCTTATAAACAGTTTTTCGGCTATAGTTAAGTGTTATTTTTCAGGTCGATGGTCTACAAGAGGCTGAGAAGGGAAAGAATTCGTTAGGTACAACTAAAAAGGGCATCGGTCCCACGTACTCATCGAAAGCGTCGCGCAACGGCATCAGAATAGGCGACCTACTGGGTGATTTTGATTTGTTTGCAGAAAAGTAAGTTTTTTTAATTATAAAGTCTCTGCGAGCCTCTTGTTTAAACTGAATTAAGGAGTTTTTAATATTTTTAAGGTTACGTATCTTAAAAGAAAAATAGAATAATATTTTATAATGAGAAAAGTACATTAAAAATCTTAAGGTTCCTTTTGTCTCAGCCAAAACGTGAAATTTAAAACATATCTCGATAAACCACATACTAAGTCTCCCAAAAAAAATTATTTCAATGGTAATCATATTATTTTTTTAAGTTTTTGTGTAGCTGAGGAAATTATGTATCATTTTTACATTAATCTTAATGAAATGCCAGTAAATTAATAAATAACTCTATCCATATCTTATCTATTACAAGGTGCAACGAGATAAACAGGGGCTTTACACCCCATATAAAATATACTGAAAAAAATTAAGCAGTTCACATTTTTTCCTACAGTTTAGTATCATATTAATAGAACATATTAACAAAAAAACATACATGGGGCACCTTAAAAATCTGTATTATATTTTTTTTATTTTGACCTCTTTTCTTGTCAGGTTCCGCACCCTTACTGAAAGCTACAAACGTATGTTCCCCTCGTTGGAGGTGGACGTGGAGTCGGAGCTCACCCGGTACAAGGAGTATGCCGCCAGGATCAGGCCGCTAGTCCGGGATACTGTGTCATACCTTTACAAAGAGATACAGAGCGGCAAACGAGTGCTCGTCGAAGGTGCCAATGCCGCCATGTTGGATATCGACTTTGGTATGATGATACAAAATTTTAGCACATACAATATAGAAATAGCACGGCATACTGGTCTCGAGGATATGAGCAAACCGTCACACAAAAAAAAATGTTACAAAATTTGTTTATTTCTTTTTTGTTTTTTCTTTTTTTATGGAACATACAGTTACTCAGACTATAGGTAGATCAAAATGTGATGCTCCATTGTAATGGCATTTTGCGTTGACGTTAGCAAAACTCGAAGCCTTGATAAACAAATAATGGGTTTTAAGATTAAAATAATATAATAAACCAGGCGGTACAGTAAGATACGACTGATGTGGCTCACTGATTTACTTGCCCAGGGGGCTTTGGTTCAACAGTATTCACATGCCTGATCCTGCTGAGTTGAAGTGAGAGGGACACTTAAAGTGTTGTATTTTATACCTTATATTTATCAGAACAAGACTAATTTTAAATTTTAATAGTACGGTTGGGGATCTTCGGCCTACGTAGTTGGAACTTACTGTTTATAACAATATACTAGATCTCTCCAGTTGATTTTAAACTCTACATTGAAAGCGTTAAGGTTTAAAATCAAGTGGAGAAATTCAATAGATTGGTATAACTTGATGTGCCGTTGTTGATGTGTACTTGCAAAATTGATGTCAACAGTTTACCAATAAATGAATGAAACCTAATCTCTGTGACAGTTACATGATAAACATAATCGTAAAACTAGATTCAAGGATTTATTTAATCCTAACCCTTTAGTTTTATTATCAACATTATTCTTTAATCGTAAACATCAAACACGCGATAAACTTTATGGATTGGTTTCATATCAGATAAATTATCATATGACTGTTATTTTAGATGTTCTGCTGCAAGCTGTATTCGACAGCAAAATGCAACATTATTAATGTAATTTTTTTTATCATCACCGAACTAGCTCTCGGCCAATGGCTTGGTTCGCTTGCTCCTTAAGCAACCGTTTAGTACAAGACTGAAAGAATCGGCAATAAACTCAGCTAGGGCTGCTTTTTACTCCGTGTTTTATTTCATAAAGTGTTTCAAATCATTTTCCATTACGATAAAACTTTTAAATAGAGATAATTCTTCCTTTAATCAATTAACATGCTTTGTCATACAAAATAGTTGATAATAGAAAATTACGTGATACTGAAATAAGACGAGATTAAACAGATATTTCTTGAGTGTGTCACTGTTTGTCACGTTTTAAATATTGTCTATGTCACAGGCACGTATCCGTACGTGACGTCATCGAACTGTAGCATCGGCGGCGTGTGCACGGGTCTAGGGCTGCCACCGAACGTGATCGGCGAGGTGTTGGGTGTGGTGAAGGCTTACACTACCCGAGTCGGCGATGGACCCTTCCCTACCGAGCTTAACGACGTGAGTGATACGTCACTTGACTTTAAAACGATGTGACTTCATTGAAATGCAGTTGGTTTTGTTTTTAGTGTTGCATTCATTCTGATCATTCGGTTATCATTGTCTGTTTGTCTGGGGCTTGAATATAGCGTATCAAGGGCGTTTTTATAGTAGGTTTTATGACACAGTTCTTGTTACTGCATCTAAAAATAACATTTGATATCTCAAGTCATTCAGTCAACACAAGCAGAATTGAGACTGTTTTCTCCACAATTTGGTATATATTTGGTATGTTTCTGACATAAACGAGGTCGCGCAATATTAACTTAGTGAAAATATGATGTCTTTTTTTTGGGGATAGATATAGAAAAAGCAAAAAAACATTGCCAAATTATACTGTGTGATTGGAGTTATTGTCATGATCAATTATTAAATATAGGCACTAGCAGCTTAAAAATCGCAGCTTTTCATATGCATGATATATATACCGATATGTATGGTAGCGTAGTGGATAAGTGCCGCGGCCCGCTATCGTTGTTGTTAAGCAACTTTAGCAACGGTCGGTCACGGGATGGGTAACCAAAAAATTATTATCTCGAGCTTCTGCTTGTTTCGGAAGGCACGTTAATCCGTTGGTCCCTGCTGCATTTGCAGTCGTTAATACTTTCTAATCCGCATTGGGCCAGCGTGTGGAGAGTCAAGGCCCCTTAATCATCCATAAGGAACGTCTGAGACCCTGCATATCCGATATATATCGGGTACAGATGACGCCAAACAACTTGAACAAATGACCTTGCATGCGCAGAAACCGATTTTAGGCGTCGCGGTATGCGGTGCGGGGCGCGGCGTGCGGAAGTAGGATCGCATCGACCGCGCCAATCCACGCTATTGGTGGATCAGTCAACCATCGCTTCCCGCTTTGTGTTCACGTCTCATCGCTACTTCAGTACACTTGCAGGCAATAACATCACGACCTCAAAATATGTCTCGTCGACAATCAAACACAGTTTTAAAAAGGCAAGCCAGAAAGATGGTATACGATGTGTATTGCTTTTTAAAGAAAGAAGAAACATCCGATTTTGAAACAATGAAACAGACATCGGAGGCTCGTAATTTCTCACTACTACTATACACGCAGCTACTTACTTCACGTGTATCATTCGTGTGCACGTTTACCACTCAGTCACTCATGCAAATAGGACAGAAAAAATACAGAAATAAATAGTTAACGTAGGAATAAGAAATTCTAATGCATAGGTTTTTTTGCTCGTAAGTGTACATGCGCAAACTTTCCCCCACCACCACACTTTTTGTTCAAGTTGTTTGGCGTCATCTGTAGATATCAATGATATTTATTATAAATATCGGATTTTTACGAACCGTGCTTTGTAATGCATAGGGCTGGTATCGGATTTGTTCCAGGACACCGGTAGACTGCTGCAAGAGCGCGGGCACGAGGTGGGCGTGACCACCAAGCGCGTGCGCCGCTGCGGCTGGCTCGACCTGGTGGTGGTCCGGTACACGGCCATGGTCAACGGGTACACAGCGTGAGTACAATATACCATAGATACTACTCGTACGAATTAACATGACACCTGAGCCCCTATACTATTTGTCGTCGAACGAAAATTCGGAAAATTCCAAACAGTTCTTATAATTTTGTTAAAATCATAACCGTGAAGATTGATAGTGCATCAGAGGCAGAGTCAGGTCCTACCTCCGTTCCATTATAAATTATCGGAAATTGCGTTTCTTTGCACTCGTATTAGCATATCGAAATTTGATGGAATTTTATTTTCGGAGAAATAGGATACGCCATCCGGTGTCATGTTACATAGTATTTTGTGCGAGCAGTAGTTCAAGTCAAAACCTTGTAATAATACAGCTTTCATTTGTGTTTATTTATTTATTTGTTATCATAAGACAAACTAACAGTACAAAAATTCATAACATAAATATCAAGAATCACTTGTGATATTTGCACCAATAATAGGCGTGTGCACCATTTGAAATTTGTCACAAATCAAATAAAATTTAATACTAGTTTACAAATTTTGCAAAAAAAAAAACAAAATTTGAAATTGATTAAGAATAATAATATATTATAATAAATACATAGCAATGTTAAATCTTCTTCTTCTTTTTTAATTCATGGCCTATTTGCGTTTACACAATTCCGCCAATGTCACGTTTGTGGTCTTTACACGTAAAGAAACAATAATAAAAATATGTCAATTTTGAATTTAGCGTAATAAATAAAACAATTAAAAAAAGGTTCTGGGCGCGTCTATCTGATTACATTGTTAAAGATAATAATTCTAATTAGAGTAAGTGTTGTGTCACAGTGACGCTTCAGTCGTCGTCGACCGAGCGACACGTGTTCGTATACTAAGAAAAACTTCATAATATAAGATGAAATATAATTATGTGCCAGGACTTCGTATGGTGGATAAGTGAAGTCTACTGAACAACTTTTACTATGGGACCAACACTGAATTCGCGAAAATACCTATTAGTGTAATACCCATTATCGAGAACAGAATGAAACAGCTGATGATTATTTATTCGCGAATTCAGTATTGCTCTCATAGTAAAAATTGTTTAATGTACTTAACTCATCCACTCCACGAAGTTCTGGTATATAATAAATCTTGAACTTTATATAAGCTTTTTAGTAGCACAAACATTGGTTATAAAACTGTGCGTGTTTGATAACCTTTTTTTTTACAGATTGTGTCTTACGAAGATGGACATTTTGGACACATTGAATGAAATCAAGATTGGTGTCGGATATAAACTGAACGGGAAGAAAATCAGCTACTTCCCTTCTTCGATGACGGAACTAAGCAATGTGGAGGTATGTGTTTAGGACAACTTAAAAATGTTACCCCTATAACATATAATATTGGTTTTTATTATTATATTTATTTACGTAGTTCAAGTTTACCACATAAGAATATATTTATTTTTATTCTTGGAAATTGATACATCCATTTGTTATAGAGTAAGACTTAATTCCCAATTATAAAATATTATATTTTGACGTTGATAACTATTGCGAAACTGTTCTATTGTTGTCAATCGTTACTACACATGTCGCAGTCACTTACGTGAATTTAGTATGTTGCGGTGAAACTACAACATACTACGAATTGTATACAACTTTTTGGTTAATGCAATTTAAAAAACGAAATTAAAATCATATAAAAGTATTCAAAGCAATAAATTAAAACAAGATTCAAATATGAGTGTTCTGCTATGCTAAGTACAATATCATTTCAATATGTGCTTAGCTTATTTTTTTTTTTACTTACTTACGAAACTAAATAACTGATTCCGCCAGCGGCTTCGCGAGCGTGGTCTTGTATTATACATAAAAACCTTCCTTTTGAATCACCCTATCTACGAAAAAGAAACCACATCAAAATCCGTTTCGTAGTTTTAAAGATTTAAGCATACATAGGTTTATATAGGGACAGAGAAAGCGACTTTGTTTTATACTATGTATTGATGAACTTAGTAATCAGTTACTGCAAGTTTAGATATATTATATGTTAAACTATAATTGATATCATGATTGGTGTTGTAGGTGGAGTATATTACTTTGCCCGGTTGGGCTTGCAGTATCGAGAATGTACGGGAAATGGACAAGCTACCGTCACAGGCGAGAGATTACATCAAAGCAATTGAAGACTTCCTCACCATACCTGGTGAGTAGAAGCTATTCTTGAAGCGAAGGTTGTTGTTAAGCAACTTTTGCAAGGGTCGGTCACGGGATGGGTGACCGAAAAATCATTATCTTGACCTACTCTGTGCTTCGGAAGCCAAGCCAATCCACAAGGAAGGTCTGAGCCCCTACAGTGGGGACGTAACAGGGCTGATATTGATGAAAATGTATAAATCAAAATCGAACATTTGATATTCGAGTTCTTTTGTTACTTTATATTAAAATGTGATTGAACTACAATTAACAGAACACAGATTAGGGTAGTTTCGGTAGTGAAATGTAAGTCACGAAATTGCACAAAAACTAAAATTTACATCAAAATGAACAAAGAGGTTCTGATTTTGAATATTAAAATCACACAATTGTGTCATTATTTTAAAATTAAAAGTTATGATTTCTTGTCTGTGTCTTACGTGAATTAAAACACATTCCGCCAATGTGTGAATCACTGTAGCGACAGCTGTCAGATTAGTAATAAAGATATGCCTATTATTTGTAAATTAAATTCCTAGATGGCACTGTTCTTAGTTTATTTATATATTTTTATTTCGTAATCGATCGTTAGGTGGCATTGTTCTTGTTTTACTCGTGTTACGTGTTTTGTGTACATATTTTTGTGTTGTGTGTTTTGTTTTGTGTACACGTCACGCTACACCACCACCGTAAGACTTCTGTTAGTAGAAAAGTTCTATACGAATCGCGATCGGTACAATGTCCACTATGTACAGTCTGACGTGGAGTGTGTACATAGCAATCCCATTTCTAACTGTACAGTAAGTTTCAACTCGTGTGGCGTACAGTAAAATTTAGTTTGCGCACAGGAGACCTGTCAAACCGATGAAAATGTATAATGAGCCTTAATGCAATTACTATAAAGTGTAAAATACAACGCATTAAGTGTCCGTCTCACACTGCGGGAATTAGGCGTGAGGATATTGGTGGATCGTCCTATCACGTGATAGTTGATACATTCTGATTGGCTGACATTACGCTTCGAAATTTAGCCTTCTGCACGGCCACATAAGTTTCATCTTGCTGTACTCTAATTTTCTTGGCCATGAAAGTTTAAAACACCGTGATATTTATTTTTTTATTTTTATTTTATTTTATTATATTAAATCTCAATTGTTTATTTTTACAGTGAAATTCATAGGAGTCGGACCAGGCCGCGACAGCGTCATAACCGCCGTCTAACGTACACTATTGTGTGATTAATATTAAATAAATCAATTGTTATAACTATTATTATTAAACTCTTAATGAATATTACCGCGGATAACAATATTCTCACACATAATTTTTTTTTATTTTTACGTCAAACGAGCCGTTGGTTTACTTCCTAATATATAAATCAATTTAATTGAAAAGCGTTAACTGTTTCGGCGGCAATAAATCTTGAATACATAGTATTAGAATTCATTATTGAAATTGTATCGAAATCTTGAATGTTTTGTTTCATTAATTTTTGATTATTTCTTTTTTGATTTTTAACAGACTTAAAATAAGGTTATTATTCGTGTACTGTACTTAATAATGAAACCGGTGCTTAGTTTCTTAGGGCTGAATTTCTGGTGTACGTAGCACCACATTAGTGTGCCTTAAAAAGGCGAATTTGAATTCTACTGACGACGTTTTACGGTTAAAAATGAAAGTGAGAAATTTGATGTTTTTTAATAACTTAATGTTAATGTGTTCAAGTTAAGGGAATAATGAAAACAAATCGGATCATAAATGAAATTCAGCCCTAAGCATCTTTTTTTTCGACATCAAGTGTTTTTTTTTTACTTATTATTTTTTTATCGATTAACTTTTTAATTCTATTAACAAACCAGGGTTTATTTTAGTCAAAAGACAATGTAATCGTCGCCCTAGTGCAATTTATATAATTAACTTTAACATTAAAATACTAAATGGCCGTAGAGAGCACACGAGAACCCAGACGCATTATTAATATAGTTATACCGGTTCTCTACTATTAAAACTTTAAGTTCAAGTCATAAACGCTTATGGCGAATGATTAGAAATTTCTATTCTTTAAAGTTCCTAATAGCAGTTTTTTAAATTTACAATGAGCGCGCAGGCGACGATTTGGCTCGTTTATGAATGTTCAAAGATCGCTAACGGCGTGATGGTCTTAAAACTCTTGTTATATGAGTGCCTGTAGTTGTATATTAGTTTATAACATATACTCATATTTGTAACGCTTTATGCCGTGAAACGAACGATATTTTTGACAGATGGCTGGCAACAACTTCTAAAAGTTGTATGATAATTGATATATGTCAGTGAAAAACTTTTTATTCTCACAAAATACTTAGTAGGTTAAGTAACACATAGATGCCATCTTGAATACAAACTAGTGATTTTACATTTAACAAATCAATATATTAGATATAATTATTTCCAGTGGAAAATATCCAACATCCTTGCTTACAACCCTATTAAATGTTATTATAATATAAACTTAAACCCTGGCCGGTTATAATCTAACGAGACAGATTACAAACCTGTGGTATCGTTTATAAATATTTTTAAATTCGAGATATTTTAAATTTTATTAAGTACTCGGTAAATCTGTTATTAGCATATTCAATTTTGCAATGTCCCTTTTGACAATATTGCTATCAATTTCTTCTAGAAGTTTAACTTTTGGTTTTTATTTAATAGTTGTTTTGTCAAAAATTTGCATCGGATAATGGCTCATGTATACATGAAATTGACAGATTTGTGTGAAAAGCAGTTGAGTTATTGAGAAAGAAAAAAAGAAAGTTTTGTTTATTCTTGACAAGAGGCATAAAGTGTTATTTGTATGTAGACGATTTTCAACTTTGAACGTATTGTGTTGTTATTGGTGCTTAGTACAAATAGTTAAATGTTAGAAAAAAAAATTGTTTACCACCAGAAAGGCCTGAGTATATTTGTCAGCAATAAAATTGGGTAAATAAGATAGAATGTAACCGCTTACTTATATTTAACGAGAGTTTTTGTGCGAATGTATAGTGTTTCCATTAAATTGCATATTCTGTAAACCGAGGATCAGATTTGTCACTCGCTTGCTGTCCACATGAACTATGCCTGACGGTGAAGATGCGCGTGATATGTCTTGAAGAAACATTAAAATAATAATAATCTATTTAAATACTGTATCAAACTTTTTGAAGAATAATAAAATGTTTGTGTTTACTTCACCAGTACTTATCTACTTATCGCACGTTGAGAACGATAGTGACACAATGCAAAAAATGCGATTTTGAGTAATGAGCGTTTAAAGTTCAAGAAATTGTAATCAGCCCCTCTAAACAACGTATCGTCACTACGCCACCTAGCAGTTTCTATGCAAGCTACGTTTACAGGGATCTTTGCATTTTAAAGTTTATACTTAACAAAGAAAAATGTTGCCAAAAGTAAAAAATACGTCGTTTTTGGTTAGTGACATTGTCATTCTCAACGTGCGTTATTTGGACATCTTGACCGTACAGCAAAGTATTTGACGTAGTGTACCATGATATTTTTAATTTAACATTTCCGTTGAACATAAAGCCAAATCTGATTATGTGGATTTCAAATTTGTTTTTTTTTGCTTATATTAATTGCACAAAAGTTGATGACAGACATTTTTGATAACAGTGGAACTTTTTGATTACGGTCTCTCTAACCGTTTGCTTTTTTTTGGTTCATTTTTAATATTGACGAATGAATGATTTTATATGATCATACATGTACTAATTTTTTATATTTTACAAATACAGATAGAACTCTCATTCCAAAGATCTTTTGAAGTATATTGTACGTAGTTCATGCTGTTAGTGAATTGTTTCGCTTTTGCAATGTTCTGTGGGGTGTGTTTTGTGATATCTATATTATATTAATGTAAATATTTCAATACAATTACTTACTATAATAGGTACCAATAAATGATGGTTTATTCTTTTACACATTCGTTTTATTTATATCTACGTTTTTAACAAAAAATTGGGTAATATTCAATGGCTGTTAATCTTTGAATCCAATTTGCACTTCCCCAAGTTCTATCCTTTGTACTGTAGAATGAAGAGTCATCGTAGGATGAGCAGAACAGATGATGAGACGGTCAATGATATGTCGAATTTGAATTTTAAAGCTATACAGTACTAATAAAACCTCAACTTATGCTCTTAACGATTTCAGCTTTGACCAGATATCACCCCAATCAAAGTTATCTCGGCTATTTATTTGCAATATAGTAGTAACTTACTTTCCGCCGGCAGCTTCGACCGCGTGGACCTGTATTATACGTATAAAGCTTCGTCTTGAATTTATATATCGTCTATGAAGAGTCAATAAATAATAACTGCAAAAATGCAACGAAACGAAAGGAGACGAAAAAAACGTTTCAAATCTATTATATTGTTTTTTCAGTACATTGCAATTATTGTTTATCTTACAAAAAAATAAGAAACGAACCCAAAATGTTTGTCACTATTGTGTAGTAATCTATTTTACAACGAATAATTCAATAAAACAAAAATTGACAAAATGACAGTTATTGATATCCGTTGTGTAGTTTAAAGATCTTGGCGTGCAAACAGCGGAAATTAAATTTATTTCAAACTATGTATAGATACAAAAAAAAAAAAACAAATTAATCATATACATTTATTTATAATAATAATCTTTACATTTCAGTCGCATGAGATTAAACATTAACTTGTCACATTAATTATAATTTTAATCTGAAATTTATACAGTATTTAGTTTAAAGTTGAATTAGGTATATTCAATCTAAGTAAATTTTGAGATCATTAAAGTCGTAATGAAATTGTATTCAACATTATTTTACATGTCTCAATATATATAGTTCTCTGGTCGCCTTTACGGATCTCATGAGAATCCAACAACAATACTGTACAATCATTATAAATATTTAAAAACACAGAAAGACATCGACAATACTCTTAATATAAATTATTACAATTGTCCTAACTACATATATATAGATACATACTACATACATTTATATTGTTTTATGAAAGTTCAAATTTCAGATAATTTTCTTAAAACTAAACAGGACTTTATGTAATTGTTAATTATGTACATTTCAATGTAAAATTGTAAAGGTATGTTACAATCTTACATAATTTATTATAATTTAACCTAACCTACGACTACTACAGTTATAGTCTAACGAGACAGAGTCATATCTGCTTATAAATCACGTTGACGTATACAGGGTTATTTGTATCAGCAACCATGCAAGACTAGATAGCCAACATCATAAACAACAACGATCGTTCTATGAGTTTTGCGGTCAGTTGCACAAATGTCCATTAAGGTTTTAGACGCATTTAATGAATATCAAAGTTGTATGGGTAATGTCGCTTTGTCGAAAAATAATATAGGTATGTATATTTATGTAATCAAAAAAAGTTTACTGATACAGCATTTGAAAGTTATGATTTTTAAACTGTGAGTCACGTGACAGCACGTGACACTAGAAAAATCATGACGTTATTGTTCAAAGCGGTAGCATATAATGACGTTTATATGATAACATTGGCGTGAATGAGGAAAATCAGCTTTGAAAGATGGCGTCAATTTCATAATGCCGAAAAGAATATTATTATTGAAATTAACCACAAACACATTACTAAAATTCTGTTCGAGTTAATATTAAAGAATATAGGATTTAAAATGTTAGGATAGTACAACAAAAACTTAAAAAAATATTTTTATTCAAAGGATTATATCAAAAGTCGTAGATGAAATGTTGGCATTCTTTTTTAGCGATATTGAAGATGTTCTTAAAATAACCCTGTGTAAATTTTAGAGACACAATTTACTTGATTTTGAAGCTTTTAACGTAGCAAAAAATGCCATGAATATTGCTATTTCCGTGATAATGAGTCTGTTTTCGGAATATAGGCCTAGGTCAGAGTTTATTCAATATTTTTTGAGTACGAATCTACGATAGCAGATTTTTATAGCAAAACTGTAGTTACAATAAAGCATTAATGAAAAAAAAAAAAATGCAAAACACATCCAAATTTACTATATTAAATTACACTCATTATCATAAATGCATTCAAAGGATTTCCAGCTCGCGTAACATGACTTTCTCGAGAGGTTCGAGAAAGGGATAAAAAACCGCGTACCGAATTTCTCGAGTCTCCCAAATTCGTCATGTTAGGCGTGCTGGTCGTAATTATAATTGTATTTGATGTTAATCACATTATAGTTTGGGATAATATGTTTTATATTATATTTCTATCAGCCTTGACTATATAATTCAGATAGACCGAAAAGTAGTAGCAACAGTAGTGAAGATTTCCGCCCATTGATTTAAGGAATTTTGACCTTAATTACTTCAGAAATCGCTTAAGCTCTTTAATTTAGGATCTGAACAGTATATGTGATGATGTCTAATATTATTAATTGTAAAAATCTCATTGGAATAGTATCAAATATATTTTAAATACCTAAATATCATTTGAAAGGAAGCGCTCGAGCATCGATCTGGACAAACCAGAAGAAACGACAGCAGTGATTAAATAAAATAACTATCACATTAATACAGTAGTGGAATTCAAACATATACAGACTGCAAAAGATTCGCACCTCGGTAACCTCTGTTGTTTGCATAAAATATAGTGAAAAAAAAAATTAAACAGAAATTTCAAACAAACTATTACATATCACGGTTCGACAAGATTTAAATGTTCATTCATATCTAACATTATTTTTCTAAGCTATCCTTTGCAGAAGCATACTTTCGCATCACAGTACTACGCAATCGAGTCCAACAACGAACTGTGAAACATTACCGAAGGTCGAAGGGCCGTCATTCCCCGGAGCTGGTCTATTTGCGTTTCCTTCGAACGACGGCGCCTCCCTTGGGGCGGGCGAGTCATTCCCTCGAATTGGGCGATATACGCTCCCGTTTGTTCTTGATCTTCGGTGGGGCGCGATGTCTGTCCCTCTTGCGGCTGGAGGACGAGCAGGAGGAGGAGGGGCTGGAGTCGGGGGGGCTGCCCGCCTCGTCCCCCGCGGCGCCCGCCCCCTCCGGCGTGGACGGCTCCAGCACGCTAGTGCGCAACGCCCGCCTCTGCTCCTCAGTATGTTGGGGGCAACGAGTCGATCTAAACCAGGCATGCCAAAGTTAAGGCCCGACAATATATCACAGAAATAAACATATAGACTACATACAACCCATTTATTATCAGCTCATTTTAGATTTGCCTATAGATCAATTTTAGTGATAAGGCCATAAACAAAACTAACATGCACTCGATATAAAATTCACGCGCATTATTTAAAAGTAATTTCAACAGTAGTGCATAGATTTATTTAGGCTTTTTAATAATGACAGGGTAAAAAACAAATATCGTTCAACAAACAAAGTCGGATAATAGAATAATATTAAATACGTATTCTTTTGCTTAAATTTAAACAAGAAATAGCTTAGCTAATAGGCATTAAAGGTGAGAAGTGAGGACTCGCTACGTCAGTTTTGTAGAAAATGTACAAAAGCTCACGCTTTTCTACCTGACGAACAAACAAACAAACAAACATTAGTCGTCATCTTTGGACTAAAATGTGTTAATTTGAATCAGGTCATTATTATACATTCCAAATAAATTCTCCGCATAATTCACTTCTGTAAAAAGGCGGTTAAACCCATTGGATATGATGCGTTTGCGCATAGCTATACAGACGCATCCGAATAGTCAACTATAACCTATTGTTCAGTTATAAAATTATATTTACTAAACTAAATCTATTACGTTGTCGCTGACAGAAAACAAAAATCATAGGCCTACGAGTAAAGAAAACGGACAAAATCCACCACCTGTGTATCCAATTAGGATTATATGAAGATAACCTAAAAGTTACATACTGGTCACTCTACCAAAGTACAACTTCTACATTTGTAAATCAAGCTCTCTAGCCACTGTGACACTGAACTCTTATTTCGTAAGTTCTACATATAAAGAACTACTGACATTATATCTAAATATTCACATTGTTATTTCTAAACTAAAGGGTAGAATAGATAAAAAGTACTTACCTGGTGCACAATTTTTTCGTATGCTCAGATACCACTCCACATATTTGGAGAAGTAAATTTTTCTTCTCATTTGCTGTCATCGTCTCGTAGGTGGCACCACCATCTGCATCTGCATTTTGGTTTCCGTTGTTATTTCTGTTGTTACCACTGGAATTATATAATTATTGTTATTTACACAGCTGAAATTAGAGTTCTAAGTAATATCTTTAAAACCAGTCATATGCAATACTGTTATCTATAAAAAAAACTATACATTTTATTCAGTTTTTAATATTTGTTGTTATAGCTGCAACACAAATAAACATAAATGAATTCCTCTGTGAAAATTTCAACTATCTAGCTATCATTGTTCATGGTAACAGACAGATGTATGGAAAGCTGAGTCTCAGTAATAGGGTTCTATAATTTACACTTTGAGTATGGAAGCCTAAAAATTAAAATATATCTCATTAAAACAAAGAATCACAGTAGCCATAACAAACAAAACAGTTATATACTTATGTAGTTTATTTGGCTTGCGATTGTTATTATTTTTGATCCTGCGTTTGCGTCGGTCATTCTGCAGAGAGCCCCCTGCCCAATCAGCATCATCCTCATCGTCACTCAATAGTCCAGCATATGATGTCGGCTCACGACTGTTGGAAGCAATCCGGCGTGAAGCAATGCGTGAACTGTTGCGGCCCATACCTAAATATGTAGTTAATTAATATCAAAATTTGCTCCTTTGTCATTCTAGTTTAGACACTAAATTTATTGTAATTATATTCATAATGAAAAATGCTTTAAAAATATGTAGCGATATGATATTTGCATCGTCATCAGTAACTGCAGACCTTCCATATTAATTATCTAAAAAGTGGGTAACCTAAAAAAAATTATCTGTTTTTATTTTTTCGTATCTTCAAAAATGACAGAGATATTAAACGTTAAAGTCTGGCCTCCATTGCAAAATCCGCAAAAGCGACCGCCTTAACGTGTGACGTCAATTCGCGACACTGCCAGTTGGTACTTGTAGACACCTACACACTCGCGGTTAACAAAATAACCATTTTGCTAAGGAAATAAGAAATATTGAAAAACATCCCAAAAATTTGGGAAGGACTGTGAGGTTGAGTTGGCAGTGGTGATAACTTTTTTATTATAAAACGAACCGAAGTTTATTCAATCTTATCACAAATGTTAGTTATAAGTTCTTATTACATACCACACAAGACTATAATAATAAAAACAATTATTTTAATTTATAACCATCAACCTGACTAAGCAGTAGTAGCAGTAGCAGTAGCATTATTTCAAAACTATGTTTACCAAAATTACTCTTGGTATCTATAACACTGACTGTAGAGTCAGGTGCTACAAACATTTTTTTATACATAAAAAAGAACAGGAGAAGTAAATATGATTTATTGAAGATTGCTAGAAGATGAGTTAAACTTTCATGTGGGTGTTTTTTTTGTGTATATTGCCATGGCTATCTTAATGGAGGCTTATTTTTACAAAAACACAGTGATTAGTATGACTGCATTATTTCATACACACATTTTCATATTACAGATTGAAAATTATATGGAAAACTTTAAATAAAATACTTTGTTTGCCATAAAGTATGAAATGAACTTTTTGACTATAACCTATTAAAGAAATCAATATTTAAAAATAAAATTGAGAAAATCTTTGTCACCTCTGCCTATTAAACGTTTGACAAATCTTTTTATTGATTATGTACCACTCACCCATACATTTCTCCAAATGAGGCGCAAACCTCGTAGCAGACACTGGCCGGTCACAGTTGGGACAGGAACAGTTGCTATCAGGAGTTTTCTTCATTATCGAAAAACCAAAAACATCACATTCCGGTGTATTCACTATTTTGTAAACATCGTCATCTTCCTTTTCACCTTCTATTAAGTCAGTCAAGCCGGTCTTCAAACCGTGATGAAATTCAAAGAGGAAACCCACGGTAACATCATCAAAAATACTGTCGAAAATAAAATTGGCTGCCTCCTCTGCGTTGCTTTCGCTTTGCATTATTTCGAAAAATTTATTATTTAAATCATTCATACTAAGCTCGCTTATAATAGTGTTCATTTTCACACATAGAAGACACAGGTAAAATTATTTTATAGACAATACAAGTATTTATTGGGATTTTAATAAAAAAAATTTTAGCTTCCTTTTGGCAAAACAATAAACTCAAAGAGTAAAAGTTTATAACATAATAAATTAGTCAATCAACTTGACTTATAGGGATGTAACATAGAATAAATAAAAAATTACCGTGTTGCAACAATATATTGAACCGATTATTTCGATACGTCTACACCTAAAATATATTTACATATCAATATCGAGAAATATCTACACATGGAAACCTAATATTGAATGAAGTACTCGGTTATTAGTAATTTTTTAATTTTATAAAAATGAGTTATTCTATTAACATTTATGCGACTGAAAGATTTGTAGCCAGATTAGGAAATAAAATAAAACCTGTCTATTGTATTCGGTCAAAGAAGAAGTTTCTTGTGTTCAGAAATATATAAGATTATAGAAATTGGGTAGTGTAATAAGGCTGTCTGACTTAAGATTTAAAAATATTGATGAATGATATTTCGCTATTGGCTAAAATCGATATCGATGTTTTTATAAATTGTTCTCTGTCGCCGATGTAGCATTGTTTATTGAATTAAAAAAGTAAATTATATGAGTTCCCTTCAAAAACTCTTAATGTTATTGCTTCAAAGGTGCAGGTGGTGCTGCTGCTGCATTAGGCCAATGCAGCGGCAGCAATATCTTGCCTCTCCAGAACTTTCGAACGAAATTGTCAGCAAGCTAACCCAGCTGTTTCGGTCTAGACGGGCTGACTTTGTAGCCAGTAGGGAAACGGCGGACCCGTATAAAAAGAGCTTTTCTCCGATTTTCTGATGCTGAAGGCTTGCGTGTCTATTATCAAGTATTAACGGTACAGGAAGTGAAAATCAAACCCGTAAGCAACGAACGTTGTCATGCTACCTCTACCACGTCATCCATACTACATACTATAACTGTTTCAGCGTTGCTAAAAGAAAAGGTGTGCTCCTACTATGAAACTTCAGGCCATGTGGTGAGGACCTGCCTGAAGTATAATTGTATAAAATTTACAAGAGAGAGTAGGAATGAAAAAAATTGGAAACTTTCAAAACCCAGTGTAGTGTGATGAAATGATTTATACACAACTTTACTTTGTAAAGCACATAGATAACATATTTTTTAGTTTTGTTTTGACATGCGAATCATTCAATAGGATCATACCCACAAAATTAGATACTTCCGATGATTCACATTGAGTGAGTATCAAAAAAAATAGCTACAAATAAATTATATAGAAAATGTCTTTTTTTCGGATTTGGGTATTTTCCGATTCTTGTTAGCTACTTTTAATATAGGACCGAAACAATGTATGTGATATTGTCCAATGTTTATTTACACATTATTAACTTTATCAATAATATTTTTAAGCAAACAGAAAACAATCGACATTTAAGATACGGAATAATTTCTCCGTAATTCCCATTATGAAATACTTACTATCCATTTATTCAAATCTCATTAAAATTTGCAAGACAAAAACTGGAATTTCATTTGCATAATTTCAAATTATAACAATAAGAAGAATAAAACTATAAATATTTTCACTTAAAATTTATTTCATTCATACTAAAGTCTGTTTTTATATAATCTCATCTGACCATTGGTCATAATCCATCATCATCATAAAAAGGGGTAATTTTAATCCCTCTGACAACATTTTCCACACATGCAAACTTATAAAAATGGTCAGTTGCACAAACGTCCATTGGGGTTTAATGACGCCCTCAAGCTCTAATTAATGTCAAATTTGTATCGATAATGTCGCCTTAAACTAATGACAATTTGAACTTTTGATTTGAATGGACGTTTGAGCAACTGGCTGTATGATTCTGCAAATGTTATAAAAGAAGATAAGAACACGATTAGCAAAAAAAGGCAAGAATCCAGTGCCATTAATACAATAACAAAATCACATTCATCATGCCGTCGCCACTTTCAGCATTAGTAGACCTGCAAGGTTTAATAAAAATATCGATACATTGAATGTGATATATATCGGTACAGTCGTATCTATATATCGCTTCACAATAATAGAGATGAGACGTACTAGGCTAAACGCGTACTGTATCTTGCAAATACGAGTACGCTGAAATACTTATTCCGTAAACCTATCCACGGTATTTAGAAGTACGCGTTTTTAAACAGTGACATTTACGAAGACTAGCGACGCAAATTTTGTCTCAAGATATCGCGAGTGCTTGAGGTATGATTCGAAGTCATTGTGCTTTGGCGAGAAAAAAATAAACCTGACGATTGAACAAGTCAGAAAATTTTATAGTACGAAAAAATTGAAATGTGAGTTATTATAGATTGGACTATCTATACCTACCCTACAAGGTTTTGGATAACATCTGTAAACACATATTTTGGCACGCTACAATAATTATACATTGGTTGTTATTGTTAGTATTAAGCTTAGTTAACAAGAAAAAAGTACAGAATTCTATTAAATTAATCAAAGTAAAAAATAAAAACAAAACATCTACAGTAGTTAAAGTAGAAAAACACATTTCTAAAATGTTTACATACATTTTATATACATTAGTTTTTAATAAATGGTGTAATAATTTTGTGTGAATGGCGGTGTTAGGAGTTTTACTTGTTGATATAATTTCATTTCATTTACGTATAAAAAGTATTTTTTACACTTCATTGAGTTATTAAATATTAGTGCGGTAAAAGTTAATTTTTTGGACTAACCCATAGATAATTTATGCTTAACATGAATAAAATATATGATAAATAAATATAATGCATAATAATAAACAATAAATTACCATTCATAAATATAACATAACAATATAAGCTAATTAAAACATTGTATAATTAGATAAATTGATTCCAATTTGAGACAACAGATGGTGCTATGCAAGTATGAATCGCGGTATGACCTCATTTCTATACGATTTATATAAACTTCAGTTTATCGATAAACCCTCATTCAATTCGATCTGCCGAGCGAGCCCCCCGGGGTTAACGGCTAACATCTCGACGTCACTATTCATGTAAGTGTTTAGGGACGTCTGCGCCGCCCTTCCCCTCCCTTGAGGGGGGGGCGGTCGCTCCGGTGAAGGTTCGTTGCCCCATCAGGGCACGCAACCAGTAGTCCAAGGCGGTGTTTAGTCAGTAGGAGTCTGGCATAACCACACAGCCGGCTGTGTGGTATCCAATGAAGGATTCACCGCCACCTTCCTCCGTTGATGGGAAGGTGGTGCCGAACCCATAAGGTTGAGAACCGAAAAAAAAAGATAAACCTTCACTCTAGAACACGATTTGTTCACTCTCAATAAATCAAATAAATTAGTCTAAACACCCCAATACCATAAAAAATATTATAATATTATTTTTATTATTACGTGTAAACATCTATTAAGTACTAATTTTTACAATAGGGTATTTGACACTTTTTTGAAAACTATTTTAAATCGTTGTTTGCTACATTATAAGCACACTGTCATAATATTTCATTGGAATCTTTTCTATTTTTGGTGAAAATAATTGTTAAAATTTAAATAGCCAAAAGCGCGCGAAAAGCGCTGCTCTATGTAATGCTTCTTTTATATCTATGATGTAATGGCGCTGATCGTGACGTCACAGGCCAGTAAATATGTCAAATCGATAAGTCACAACTGTCGTAAGTGGTGAGTAGTGCCCATGTAGTGCCACAATGTACTAATACTTCTATAAATAACAAACAAACTTCGAGTCTAGAAGAAAATAGATTCACAATCACAATAGATTATAGCTTTATAGAGTAGAGATGGGTGATAAAATTAGGTAAGGATTCGCTAAAAGTATTGAAACTTTTTTATTTCATATTTATTGGAACTACATTTGAAGGTTTCCTTTTTGGTTTTTTTCTTTGTCATTAACATTTTACGACTCATTTATATTTGTTGACATGGCTCACACTTTACAGCCTGTCGACCTACATTAGTACGAAAAAGAATATCTGTTTTTTATACATGCATGTAGTATGTCTGTCCACTAAATGCATGGCATTTGATAATTAGATATCAGATACCGATGATTTTTTTAAATTAGTTTTTAACTTGGAGAACACTATATATCATCAAAATCGACTTTGTAATTTTGAATTATTATAGTAAAGTAAAAAAAAATTAAATAGGGTATTTGACACTATCACAAGTAATTTGCACGTTTCACTTAGCACAAACGTCATTTAACTCAGAAGTCATGTTATTTTGTACGAATACTTAGTATATTTGATACATATCGGGTAAGTATGTAGGAACCGTATGGCTGAAGGTTGGGTCCCTACTGGATAATGTAGACAACTGGCAAGGGAGACTAAAGGATAATTGTCTCCCTCCGAGCTAGATGTAGTTGGCCCGGGGAACGCGGTCCAACCAATGTAGGTTGGACGTACTATTTATGCTAATTGGTAGTGAAACTTATTGTGTGCGATGTAGGTTTCTTTGTTCTAAATGCCTTGTAGTTATTAATTTATGATGTTTGTATTGGTACGGCGCCATCTAGTTACTTGCTGTTAAAACTTTTTGCAGTTCGTCTTGCTATCGATGGCTGTGACGATGTTAGCCTTCTTGCTATCGATTGCCGTGGCGATGTTAGTGCGATGAGATGACGCTATGGATCAGTCGCCACAAGTATATAGATAATAATCGTATTTTTTATTTTAATTACCGTTTTTATGACTTTTGTTGCTGATTAATAAACCCTATTCATTCATTCACTATACATAATATAAATATATTATTGAAACTTGATGTAGTTTTGTTGTTGTAAGTTACTACTAATAGTTGTAAGTTACAACTAATAGCAATAAAACTAACTTACCTAGTTGTTATTGTTTTCAGAACTTTTGATTATATTCATATGATAATAATAATTATATATATAATATCTATATTATATTATATTATGTTACGTTATGTTATGTTATGTTATGTTATGTTATGTTATGTTATGTTATGTTA